GCTGTGCTCAGCAGTCAAGGCGATCCTGAGCGCGAAGAGATTGCAGAGACTGGGCGCTGCTTTCCAATGATCTCTGCATCTCCGCCTTTGCAGGGGTCATGGACAAGCGAGGGCTGATAAAACGAGTCCGTGTTGAGCAAAAGAAAGCTTCTAAGCAGCTTCTAAGGGTCTCTCGGTTGCAACGTCAGAGCCAAGGCCCGAGCCGAGTGCTGAGATTCGCTTGTTCTCAGGGCCTCTGCAGCTATGCAAGCAATCCTGTAGCAGTGACGCCGTCACGGCTCAAGTTGGGTGCAAGTGCAAGCATTCGACGTTTTCATCTCTCTTGTCGTATGTCCACGAAGCGCCAGACGTAGAACCATTGTGTTCGGGATTCTGCAGCTGAAGTTTGAAGATCAGAGCATCCGAAGCGCCCTTCTCATTCACAAGCCCTAGCCCACTCGGCTATCATCATGAGATGCCCTCAGAGGGCCGCCTCGACGCCGCGTTGGAGTGCCTCCAAGCCCCTTTGCAGCTCAGAGACCCGCTCCGGGACCTGTCAACTCACGGGGGTTCGCGCGTCTGCACAGCGCCGGTGCGATGCGCAGAATGCGATCTGACGCCCGATCTGATGCGATCTCCGACGTGCGCCTCTTGGCCGCGAAGGGACTCCACCTTCCGCCAGCGATTGGGAGAAAAGCAAGAAGACCCTGCCGCACCCCCTAGCTGCCCTAGCTGCCCTAGCTGCCCTAGCTGCCCTAGCTCCGTTCCCCAGGCTCCGCGCCTGTCGGCCCTGGGAGTCCACTGCACGGCCCAGGTCAGCCAGGAGCCGCGCTGTCTCCTGACGTGCAGCTCTCTCTTGCGCATACGGAGGCCTGGGCTTCACACGCTAGACTCAAGAAGAAGGCTGCCAGGCCTTGCTGAGCTCTCCGATCTGGCTGCGAGGATCCTAGTCAACGAGAGCATGTCCGGAGATGGAATTCCGAGGAGCTCAGGAGTAGCGGAGGAGCTCCAAGAGAAGTTGTACTCTTTCTATTATCTTGTCTATCCCCCCCTTTCTGACTACAGGATGCATTGCAGCACGCCTGCGCTTGAAGATCTTCTCGCAGCTGCGCGGCCGTCTCCTGCAATCCGGGATACTCTGGGCCGGTCTACCGCGCATACACCAAACCCCATTACGAGGTACAATCGCGAAAGCAGACACGATCAGGATGATCAGGGCTCACGAAAACAGTATCTGTATGCTGCATTCAATCTCGCAGACAAGGCCGCAGCACACATGGCAAGTTTAGTTCCGAGCCCCAGCCAAAGGCCCTGCTTGGGTCCTTCGATGCCTCACAGGCGAAGCTTTGTGTTTCTCTGACACATGTCGGAAATGTGAGGACACAGATACAGAGCGATACAGATGAACGGACCCGAGCACAGCCTGCTGCAAGGCCTTGAGAGCCTGTGCCTGCGCAGGAGTTCACGTTCACACCTCAACGACGTCCCACGTGCTGAACGCTGGCCTGCGACTGGAGCTCGTCTGCGACACCGCTCAGGCTCTTCTGGTGATCCTGACTCGGGATGGCGCAGGTTATGTTTAGGTTCAAGGCCTTCCTGTCCCCTGCCACTTAGACGGATCTGCACAGCGCACCACCCGATCTACTTGAACCTAAGTCCCCTCTCTCGCCTCCGCTCTCCTGGCGCTGTCACCACGGGACTCGCGAAGCTCCTGAAAGGCCAGATGATCCGAAAAACATCGGGGATTGCAGGGGAACTTACAGTGCTTACAGCACGGGCCGGAAATCAGTATGTACCACTTCAAGCACTGGTGTGTAAACTGTAACTCTCGGGCTCGGCAGCTTGAGTGCTATCCGGCCTGCTGCTGCGCAGACTCCTGACACCGTGAATTGCAGACCCCCAGCTATGTGCTCTTTCACTCACTGCAGTTTGGCACGGCACACCCTCTGCTTCTTGAAAGGGCCGAGCCTGCGCCTGCAGTGCCTCGTCATGTAATCACGCAGTTGAAAACAAGGTAGCTCATGAAGTTGAAACCAAAAGTGGTCATCCGAAACGCCTCGACATGCTGGATGAGCTTTCGAAGGGACTCCGAAGCCTCCACGGCGTCAGAATTGAAGAACACCGTTGAATTCTCAAGAGCATGCATACGCCTATGACGCGTTTGAAGCACAAATGGCATGGACTCTTGCACGGACACTCTGTTTTTCAGCGCTTCGCCATCTGGAAGATCTGCCGATACAATCCGGCAACTGATGGCAGGCCTGAACCCAAAGCCTCAGGACAGAATACACCACACTTTGCTGTGCTCCTGCAGATCTGCGCGTGACATGGTTTCAGCACTCGGTAGTGCAAAGCGCCTGGCTTAGAAAGCTTCGAATGTCATCTACAGTGCAGCCGCATCTGATGGCATGTGAATGGGCTGAGAGTTGAGAGTTTGCATAATTCAGGCTTAACCGTGCTTGCGAGTTGCGCGATGACAGGCTGCGTTGAAGGCCGCCTTAAGCTTGCCATTGCCCCTCCCACATGCGCACGGACGGACACAGACAGCTTCTGCCACGAGCGTTCCCATGGAGGCATCCGAAATTCCATCCTAGCAACGGGATTGTCGAGGAAAAGCTGATGGCCAGCAGACTCAACCACGATCCTTGGGCAAGCAGAGGGCTGTGCACAGACAGACGCGTGAGTGCCCGTCTTGACGACCCGGTTCGGCCCCGCTCCAATGCTTCATGCTGAGCAGCACTTCTGGTGCAGGGCGCCGCATTTTGGCGAGAGCGCCGGCCAACTCCACGCCTGCACACTTCTTAGCAACCCGGTGAGTAACGCTACTCGATTGCTTTCAAAGACCCAGCAGTATCTAGCCAGCTTGACTGGAGTCGCTTCAGGTTGGACCTATGAGGGCCCTTGCCTAAAGGGGGGGAGGGGGGGGACCCCGAAAAGTTACCGGCAACATTTCCGGGTCTCTCGCCGGGCATCTGCGAAAAACGTGCAAACCCACCCCACAATCCGTGTAACATATAAAAGACATGAAAAACACAGTGAACTAAAGGATGTATGTCTAGGGCTTTGTGTGGGCAAGACACACAAGCTAAAACGTTACAGGGGGGCTCTCCTTTTAACATTTCCGACCCCCAAAATGTTTCCACGAAACCATCGGCAACTGACGCAGCGCCCCCCCTTGGAAACAGGCCCTAAAGCAGAGCCATGACCTATGCACCCGATAAGGCACAGAACATCGTCATCACTAGTAAGGAGAACCTATACCTACAATGCGCCTGCGCTGGCATCCATCCAATCAGACTCACCTCAATCTGTGTCAGCCTATGGCCCACTAATTGAACGCGACACTGCTGCATCCATGCGCGGCGCAACGCACAAAGGCTCTCTGAAAGTAACACGAGGTGACTAACCGCGCTCTGCTTCCGAGGTGCCGTAGAGCAAAGTGACGGGCGGCGCTCGGCTGCCTAGCTCCTGCCGAGCCCAGATTGGAACTAAAGTCAGCTGGGCAGTGTTCCGATTTTTTTCCTTGGCGGCTTTGGCAGCATCGACGACTTCCAAACAGGCTGGAACGACATTTTAGCAGGGCAAAGATTGGATGCACCCCTGACGCTACTAAAACGAGGAGGCCGCATCTTAGGGCTTGGTGTGTGTTGAGGACCTTCCAAAGCCGCCCAGGGCGAGCGAAGGCTTTGCTTGGGAATCCTGCCATTTGGTGTGTAAACTAACACGGACCTGCAAGGGCCTGTTCAAGCACAGTAAGGATTAGCAGGGGCAAGTCGCAGAAAATGATTAAGAGCAGTGATGACAAAGAAACCGGCAGTGGGCCGCTGCTGTTCTTGAGATGAACTTCATCAGCCCATATTGTAGCACTTACGAGAAGCCCAAATGAACAGGCAAACACCAAGACAACGTGCAACTTGGATTCGCACAAGCCTCAAGTTTCCCAAAACCCTTGACTCAACACGAGTCCAGAGCAGTCCAAGAAACTCAGGCCAAGAACTTCTGAAAAGAAACAACACAAAGAGCCCCGCAGCAACTCTTTGGCCTGCCAGCGCTGTGCAAGTCGGGGGCCAATGGGATCCTCCAAAACTACGTCACGTCCAAGCACGCCACTGGGACAACTTCGTGAGGCTTTCCAGGCCCTTTGCGCCTTCGCCCAGGCGCCGAAGGACAGCAGCTCCCCGAGACAGCGTTCCGAGCCGGCCGGCCGGGCAGCCTGTTTGGGATTTGGGGGGTTTACGAGAATAGGGGGGTACGGGTTCCTTATTGGGGTCCTTACTAGAAGGGGATCCTACTATTTGGGAGTCTCTATTCCGGCTGCCCTGTATTCGTAATTCCCCATTTCGGAAAACTGGGAAACCTGGGAAAGCGAAGCTGGGGAGTCTGGGAATCCAGGCCTATGGACGGGTCTAGGCCGGGGTTTCGGGGTTAAGCATAGCATAGAAGTTAGTTTTGGTGGATTGGCTTTGGGCTTGGCCTGGGCACTTTTCCAAACTGCAAGACTGCAGCCTCCTCCCCCCCGAAACTACACAAGAACCGGGAGCTGCAACCGGCCCAGGCATAGCACATGATGGCACCCTGAGAGATCGCAAACACCTGAAATCCCCCAGTCTCCAAAGAAATCTCGAGGTACATCCTCCCTCATGCGCAGTTCAGGTGGCGATGCGGGGGCGCCCTCACGAGCTCTGGGTGCGACATGCCTTGTTGCAGTTGGGGTTTTACAAGTAGGTGGTTCGTTTGAACCCGCATGTGCAAGCATCCCTGGGTGCGCAGGCAAGCGTCCAGCTGATGGATGTAGGCAGCAGTTTCGTCCTTGTCCGCCTTGCACCAGCTGTGACGATGGCGCATGTGCTGAGAACTGAAGCTCCCGAACTCCCACGACCGTTGAGACAAAACAAGCATCAGCACACACCGGGCGAGGCAAGGCAAACACAACAAACACTCTAAGAGAGCAACGGCTGGCAAAGCAAAGCAAAGCTGCCACGTACACCGTCTACACCACGGTGCACCTGCATGGTCCCAAGCTCTCGGGGCAGGCGGAAACGGCGGTCCATATACCAGCGTGCCAGCCACAACCCGGCTGGGCCCAGGCCACCTTAGGTGCTTAGACCCCAAGAATTTGGTTGGCTAGGGCCTTTGGAGCACCTCCTCTATGTAGAAACATGGCTGCCAAGAATGCTGGGTTGGCCCATCCAGGATCCACCATCCATGACTGACGCTTTCGAACACTCACATCTCGAAGCAAAACATGCCTAAGGTCGAGAGGCGCACAATGTCCATGGGAGTCCAGCCTGGCCAGAGCGACGGGATTGCAAATCGGACATTTCTTCGGCAACCAAGTGTTCCGCCGAGGCCTCCTCCCAACCCCTCCAAGAAGGCCTTTACTTGCCTTTGCGGTCTATGTGCCTTTGCATGAATCTGCAGGCCTTCCTACGGCCCCCAACAGCTGAGGCCCACGTGCACGGCATTCACCCTTTAATTGACTCGTATGTGACTGGATGCTGGTCCCTCTATGTCTCCCTGAACTCGTGCCTCCAGACCACATGTCCCGGGCTGTCGTCACGAGGGTCCTTGCAGGCCATCTGGGGAATTCAAGCTTGTTGGCAATGTGGCGCTGCGCACGCCGCGCATCGGGTCATTGGGTGTGGAGTCAACAGATTGCCATGAGATTGTATTGGCCAGAGCACGACACTGCACCACAAGATGTGAACCCACGCATCTCAAGAGTACTGAGTTCATTTATTGAACTTCAGACAAACCGTGCAATGTCGCAGGACCCGGGCCTTTGCCACCAGGGCATGGCCTTGAGCCTGTCCGGGTTCAGGAGCCCTCGCTCATCTCCTGGCAGTCACTTAATCATCAGAAGCACAGAATCCTCTTGGCTAAGCCATAAGAGTAACATAGAGTAATTGTGAATCTCCCCATCAAAGCTGGGGGATTCATCCGAGGGGCTCTTCTCGCCCATTCCGACGGGGCTGGCCAGGATCAGCGCCTCCACATTCTCAGGATGCTTCATGGCCTTGGAGAGACTTTGAGAGCAAACCGAATATGAGACTTGGCTGTTGCCACCCACCGTCCGGCCCCTGGACCTCCACAACCACAGGGCAACCCGGCTTGCGCCAAATGACGAGTTCCCCTTAACGAGACTCTTTGGTCAGAGAACCACCCACAGCGTGACACCGCCTTTAGCCAATCTTGTAATCCGAGCAGCATAGCAGGCGGCAAAGTAGCCTCCGAAGCTGTGACCCAGCAGCACCACCCGGTTCAGGCCGACAGACCGCCGCCACTGCTCGATGCCCTCAATGAAAAACTGCTCGCAGGCATGGGTCCCCTGTCGCCGACTGGGTTCTGCGGATGAAAAGGATGCAAGACATCGGGAACCATCTAAGACTGAGGTGTGGGCCATCAAACCATCAAAGATGAAATCCAGATTTTGAAGAATCCTGCCTGCTGCATTGGGAAGTCCGGCTTCGAGGACAGTCCCCATCCTGGCCAGTCAATGGAGTAGACATTTCTGCCAGTGGATGCCAGAGAATCGAAGCTGTGAGCCCATGACCCGGAGCCCATGAAGTAGCCATGGATCAGGACCACCGGTGCCAGTCCACTCCCTGCCCTCGCCCCTTGCGCCCCTTGCGAGACACAGAGTGTATGCACCGTCTGCCCATCGGAGATCGGAACCTCCATGACCTTCATCTTCGAAGACACCGCATTTCTCAGCAGCGCCTCCTCGGTCTCCCTGAGGCGTTCCTCGCTTGACTGCGTCCACCAGTCGCGAAGACGCTCCCGGGCGCCTGTGAAACAAACGGAGGACGTCAGCGACTTTGCCGCAGCATCCATGACCGCCGAGGGCGCTCTCAAGGTCTTACAGTAAGCCAGATTAAAGCGGCTTGTGCCCCACGGCTACAGAAGGCCGCACCGTGTCGCTGAGACGCACTTCAGCCAGCAGCTACTTGCAACGTCCACTTGCAATTCACAGCGCCCAGCCTACAAATCAAGAAGAACGAGGAAGTGCAAAACGAATGCAAGGACTGTTCCAAAAGGCCCCCCTCCCCCCATCGCTCCAAACCTCCTGGTGATCGGTGGCGCGGACACTCATCATCTCTTGGCCTCTTCGTCAGAGGGCAAAAAACTCCCAACACGCAGCCAAGAGCAGATTTTGAACATGGGGGGGGGGGGGCTATTTGTGGGAGAATGCCCTCAGTGCTTTCAACCATCGAACGAAAGGCAGCAGACCCGCGCGCACGGTTTTCCTCTGTGACAATTTGAATGCGTCAGAATCCTGCTGCGAGCCTCGGCGTTTGAACTGACTCGCCCATGTTGAGCGAACAGCTCCCAGCGTTCAAACTGATTCACCCATATTGGGCGGACAGTTCTTTAGAGTACTGGGCGTGTGCCTGCCCCCAGAACACGGCTCGAAGACTGCTGCCAAGTACAGCCGGAGGCTCCAACAGTGCCTCTGAAACAGCTGCTGGCCACAGCCCTGGGGTCACAACTGAGGCAGCTCTCCGCTCTTCTGCAAAGCAATCATTCCTGATCATTTCTTACAGAAGTTCACAAAGCGCGCAGTGAGGCATTGGTGGAGCAGCAGCTAAGTCCCCCTCATCGAGTCAAAGGCTCAAGGTCAGGACTTGACATGCCCGATGCTGCACGCAAGTAATCCAACGTCACTTGATGCTATGCTCCCTCGGGCTCAAATGACAGCCAACAGCATGCCAATTTTCTGCACGCCCAACCTCAGCCATCACAGCAAGCATCACTGTGTCAGGCTTTTAAGCCATCTCAAGACCATCCAAGGAGCTGCCGGGAGCCACCTTAGAGACTCTGGAGACTTCTCGAGAAACTGGTGAGGAACTGCCCAGCATTGTCTGCTTGAGGCTCTTGGAAGGATTTTCGTGCAGAGATGAGCTCAAACATGCTCCAAAGGGCTGCTGCATCCATGTCATCGCAAACCCCTGCCGAAGCCCGACGGAAAAGCCCGGAATTTACGCCAGTACTGGTAACTTGGTAAACCTTGTAACAGCATCCCTGCATCTATAAGGGGCCGGCTCTCCACGAAGCCCGGGCTCACTTTGACAGGAGCATCACTGCCTGGAGCAGTGGTCTTCGGGGTTTCGGGGGTCTGAGCTTAAGCATCTCTGCTTGGAGTTTAGGATGTTGTCAAGTTCGGGCCTCGAATCTTCGAAGATCTCGTTTTCTTCCGATAGGCTTGGGGGACGGGGGCGGGCCACCCTCTCCGGTGGAGCCCTGTCTTCCTGCGCCCTCCAGCCGAATCTAGCCTGCACCTCCACACTCCGCACTGCAAGCCTGCCTTCTCGCCCATCAACGTTCCATACCTTAACGGGCGTCCATGTCTCATACGTTCTGGTCAGGCGGTCTCAGTATGTCCCACTGTGTCTCACTATGTCGCACTACGTCTCACTATGTCACACTGAGCGTTGGGAAGATATGGCAAGCTCTCGATGGTTCTAAGGTTGCACCTTGCCTGAGGTCGCAACTTATCAGCCTCCGCCAAGTCCTCCGCCGAGATGTCGTCGTAGCAGGCGAACGGCCTCTCCTCCTGTGGACGAGAAACCCAGTTCGGCATGTCCCGGCATATGAACATGCAAATGCAAGGCAACGGAAGCACGTCCGATGCCCTGCAGCCGCACATACCAGCCAGAATCGCAAGAACATGAATCGATTTTGAATTCTCGCTCGCATGCCGATCATCTCCTGTGCTTTGAGGAGGAACTGAAAATTGCTGCACCAAGTGGCTGGCTGCCACTTTTCTTTTCCAGCTGTGGGAACTGGCGCGACATTCATTCGGTGCTTCGATGCCTGCTCTAGGCGTGCTACGCCTTTGGGATCCGGCACCAGCTCTCTGCGTCATGCCGGTGGATGAAGAAGGCAACACCCTCTTGATGAACCTCCGTGCTATGCCATGATCTCTCCCCTTCGCTCTCATGCACCCAGTCATGACTCTGCAAATCGAAACAAGTGTGTGTTCCTGCGCAACATGGGAAAGCTTGACTCAGCCAGCCACCTGGGTTGCAATCATCTGGGCCAGTGCCATGAGGGGTCCTTAAGGCACTGTTGGAGCGCGGCAAAGTGCGGCAAAGGACCAGACGACAAGCTGCCTGGGCCTTGTGGCCGATGCCTGGACCATTGAACATGTTGAACAAAATGCCTCAGACCCGAGCTGGGTCCGAGGATCGCTGAGTGCTGGATCCTCGAGCCCACGTCCCGCATGAAGCGGGAGATCACAGGCACCTCGGCTGCGGGCCAAGGGTGACTCGTTCGACGCATGGCCTCGCCCCACATTGCAGCCATCAGATGAGGGCGAGGAGCTGCTAAGGGCGAACAGCCCACGCCCATCCGCATGTCCACAAGCGCTGTGCCTGAACAGCGAGCTCAAAGACCCCACGAATGCTGGGATCTTACATGATCTTACATGAACTTGCAGCACGTCCAAGCCGGGTTACATGGCGTGGAGTCATCAAGTTCCGCCATTGCAGACCGACAATCTTGCAGCCTCGCACACTGGCCATGTGAGTGACCTATTCACAGCAAAGCCGCATCTGCTGCTGAGCGGCATCTTGCCCGTGGTGTCACGAGTGCCGAAACCATACAGCTCAAACTCGATCCGCCCATCTCGCCACACGATCACCTTTCCCGATGCTGAGAGCCGTGGATTCGTGAGCACAGGGGTGTATTATGGATGATTATGGTGTGTGTGTGTGTGTGTGTGTCCCTGCCTGGCAGCTGCCCAAGGCATTGGTGTACCTGCGTAACTTCCACTGACAGAGCGGAGCTTTCTTCCAAGCACATTGACCAGCAGCAGCACCACCACCACCATCACCATCATCATCATCATCATCTTCTTCCTTCGCAGTGAGAGTCGTCCCTCAGCTAGCGTGCGCTACAGTGTGGTTCACCTTGCGCACCGGCCGATTACACGGCTTAGCACGTATGCTCTTAGAGAAAAGCCGCTTGCTATTGAAGCGGGGTCCCTGTTTGTACTCATCATCATCATCATCATCATCATCATCATCATCATCGTTTTGCTGCTGCTGGGTGCAATCTCTGGACATGCTTCGGCTGGTCTGTTCTGTCCGCATCCTGGCAGTAGCTGCCTGGCAATGCTACTATTTGCCATGCTTACATCCAAAAAAAGCCAAAGCGGATGAAGCTAGGGCACGTGGAGTTCAGGATCACTGTAGAGTCGCCTGCTGCGCTGGGCCTGTAGCTTTCATCTCCGATGATGCATGTCAACTGCATGTTTTCGAGGCATTTGCGAGCAATCCTCAAACCCTCACCCTTGCCTCCAACCTGGGGCTGCCCACAGCACGCTGGGAGCCTGGGACCTCTCACAATGCGCAGGTCTTCTTCGTGGTGTTTTTCGTGGTGTCCTTTTCGGTGGTTTCTAAAGTTCCTAAAGATCCGCGACCCTTGCCTCGCACGGTCCCTCTGCGATAACGGCGTCAGACATCCAAGGACGGCAAGGGCCAGTCCTCAGGTGAAGGGATGCGGATGATGCGGAGAGATAAGGAGGGTTCTGCTGGCCGTGTGCGATTTCGGAAGGAACTCCTTGATTTTTGGATGTTGCAAGCTGAGCGGCCCAGAAACAGCACGGACCGCAGCCGTGTGGGAGAGAGCCGCTTGACTGACTGCGCTTGGTGTCGATGCCCCAGCATTGCTGAAACATTCGCGAAAATGGCGCTACTCAGATCTGGTGTGATGAACTGCTGCAGCGGATTCAAAGGGGACGACGTCACTTCGACTGCAGCGGTATGCAGTTTCTAAGGAGTCTTCATGTCTTGTGCCATTTGCTCAGGAGAACTACGAGAAGTTGCCGCTGGCAAAACCCTGCAAATGCCAAGCTTCATGTACCAACATGCCAGACATCGCAAACATGAAAAGCGTGGCTTCACAGCTGCTGACAGCCTACCAAGGCTTGGCTTGAGCCATCAGTGAACCCATGGATCTGCTTTCGGATTTCGTAAGCGGGCACCACGATGTGCACCCTTGCGACAGTTTCTTACCCCCCCCCCCCGCCCCCCACCGTGTGGCACGCCGCCAAGGCCCGGCTGATGCCCACGCAAGAGCCTGCATCACTCGAACATTTCGCCAGACGTCTGAGTTGCCTTTTCAAGGTGCTCGTACGGTAACCGTGGCGGGAGGAGAAACCACCAACCAAGAGACCAAACCGGAGCACCATTGCAGCACAGGGAACAGCTGAACTCGCCAACGATCCACTTCTCCTGATCCGCCGGTGTGCCCTGACGGCAGGAAGGCGCTAACGTGCATTGTCTTAGTCTAAAGCTATCAACTAACTGAAACTCTGGCAACACAGACAGAGCATCTTTGACGAACACGGCCACAGCCTGCCTCCGGAGATGAGTTGATGAAGCCCACGGTCCACCACAGGGGCAAAGGCTCAGTTGGAAGATCCAGAGCTCGCATCATCAGTGGTAGGTCCTCGAAGCGCGCGTCAAAGCTCGATGTCTCGAATTGGCAGGTTCAACATTTGTTCAACTGATTGCTGAATAGTCCGCGCGCCCACGCGCGACTTCTCAAAGGCAACTTGCCGCGTTTCGGCAAGAGCTGCGAAGCTTGCGTGCTGCTTGCCAAGTTCTTGCTGAAGAGAGGTTCCACGAGTATCGAACTTAACATTCTGCGTGGTTGGCAATATTTCTGCTTGGGCAGCTGCTGCCCGAAACTGAAGGCACTGTCGAACCCAACACCTTGTCCCGAAACCACCATATACGACGTGTGTCGTGACTAAACCTGACTGAGCAGTGTCTCCTTTTCCAGAAAGCTGGTGGTCAGGTTCTTGAACAGGGCCTGATTTGTCGAGGCGTTGCATGGACTTGCTATACCGCACCACAGCAAGGCAAGGATCAACTGTTCGTGCTGCGCTTGGGTCCTTAATACTACTTGGCATGCTCATGAGGAGGCACTGTTCGCGAGTCTTCAGAGGCTACTTCCTCTGAGTGGGACAGCTCCAAAGCTGAAACGAAGGCTTGGGCAGCTGACAATGTAAGAATCAGGCCTCCTCCGGTTCATAGTAGGTGTACGTCTCAGGCGCCAAAAATGTCTTCTGCTGGCGTCTCTGCATCTGTAGACTGTACCATACTGTACAAGAAGCGCTGCTTCCCGAGCACTTGAGGCTCTGGCAGAACCGGTTCCGCCGACGGCCGAGATGCCTCCCTCCTGAAATATGCTCTGCTGTTTCGGCCTCTTACCTGGCCACTGCAAAAGACCAAGGCCTGCGGCTTCTTGTGGGTGATTCCGACCAGAGAATCGGCAATGAGGTTGTAACCTGCTACCGTTGCTGCTCTTATCTCAGCTCTTATTCAGAAGCAACAGCCAACATAGACCGACTTTCTTCGCGCATTTGACCGCAGGCTCTTGTGCAAGCAAGTGACGGAGCTCGCCCTCCAGGATGCGGGGGCAGAAGCGCTGGTCAACCAGTTGACCACCGGCCTGGAGGTGCCAAGCTGACAGAGCAGCCGCGTGACTGCTAAAGAAACAACACGTCAAAGTGCCCTTTGACAAATACGGTTCGGGGCGTTCAAGCAGCTTTCAGTGCTCGTGAAAATGGGGTGCCCAGTGGTGGCATGCTCTTGATGACCGTGCATATGCTGCAAGGCTATGGCAACCTCGGTTGCTCAGTTGCTTCTGGAGAGACGGGGCGAAGACAAACACACAGATGCAGGAGGCAAGGGAAGAAGACGGCACTAGTGCACAAGCGGGCAGGAAGGCCTCCAGATACTTGCCCACACCCTCGGATGTCCATGTTCCAGATTTGTCCTTGGTCACACTTACATTGCAAGAATCATTCCAGCGAGAGGAGGGATCACACGACTGGGGCATTCTTCACGATTGTGGGATGCGAAGAAGGCTGAGGACTCGACAGTGCGGCCATTGGAGCAGAACTCGATGAACTCTGCCACGGTGTGCTCTTCATGGTGGTTGTCATTGGCCTCGCCCGCAGAAGCCCCAAACTTCGAAGGCCGGTCTTACCACCGGCAACTCCTGCATCTAAGAAATCCTACCTACCAGCCATCAGCAGTTGCACTTCCCATGCCTCCATGAGCGTGAGGACCTCGGAATCATCGCAGAGACGCTCTCCAAACCTCGGATCCACGCTGAAGGCGTGTCTTCAGTTGAAGGGTGTCTTCAATTCAGGCGGAACGCATGCCTGACCTCATGCAAGCTGCGAAACCATCTTTCGAGCCTCTGACAAACGGTGAGTCTGGCAAGGGGTTATAGATGTTATAAGTATTCGGGTTTTAAACAGGTGTATACAGGTGTAAACTTGCAAACCACGGCAGCGTAACTGGACCAAGGGGCTCCTGGCAGTAGTTGCCTTGGTCATACTTCATGGCAGTGCCATAGTTGCAGTCACAGCGAGACTCTCTGAAAAAACGGGCAGCTGTACTTCCTTTTTATTTTGTAGTTGATCAGGCTTGCTCCGGGAATCCCTCGGTGCAGGCTTGGTTGCCATTCTTGAGCTTGATGATCCAGACGCCTCTCAACAGGGAAGTGCGGAGGCATCACGAAGTACGGTGGAGTTGAGACAGCCGAACTGTGCCGGCGACTCGACCAAAAAACTTTTGTGTCCGTCACGGCATCTGGTCATGAAGCACGCCAGCTCATGCAGCTAGTTCCCCGCCACAGCCGTGCATGCGCATCGGCGTAACTCGTACCACCATCCAACAGACCAAAACTGCGCGAGGAACTTGCGCGCCTTCTCCCGAGGAGCCGCGAGCCTGCTTGATGACCTGCTGTGGGAGAGAAAAAAAAAGGGCTTCCCCTGATACTCTGTCAGGTCAGTCAGCTGTCCAAAAATGCCTATGTAAGTCCTGCTGTTCTTCTCCAAGGCGCCCTGGGCTGGAAGGCCATGGTCTTCTTGAAGCCGGCGCTGAACTCCTCCGGCGTGTAGTACCTCACAAAGCAGACATCCGGCCCGGCGAGATATCGTTAATTCACGACTCCTTGCAGCGAAGTTTTTGCCTGCGCAACTTCAGAGAACTTACGACATGCAACTCATGCAACATGAGCTGTGAAAGAGATGCACACTGGGCTCCGCTCGCCAGGGTGTCTGCCAAGCCGATATTCATGTCTGCCACCTGCCCAAGGGGCATTTTAAGAGATCCAATGAGCATCCAAGGGACCGTGGGGACCTGACCTGAGAGCTATGGACCACAGCTAGAAACCAGCCTTGCACAGGGCGTCCCTGGCTCCCATCTTCTCCATCACATCTGGGGAAGGCCACACCTCAACACCCGTGTGATCTGGCAGCGGCCCTTAAGCTCATCTTACTCACGCGATTGAAAGCAGAACAGAAAGAGACCAGCTCTATAAAAGTTTCTCTAAGCGGGAGGTCTGACGACCTATGCAGGAACCGAAAGTGCAAACGAGACTCCTGGATGCCCATGTCTCGAATGGCACGCATACCATCCTCAGCCGTAGCAGTGTGACAATTCCTAGGCCGGACCGCCGCCCAAAGCGTCGGAAAGAGAGTGCAAGAACTTCCATTTTGCCGTCGTCGTTGTCGTTGTCGTTGCCATTGCCATTGCCACTGCGGTTGCTGATGCTGTTGCTGATGCTGGTGCTGGTGCTGTTGCTGTTGCTGTTTGTCGTTGGGGTTGGGGGGCATGGGCGGGCAGCAGGAAGCCACAGGTGGCTGGAAGACGGGGGTTTCAGGCCGAACCATCAAGCCCAGGGGCGTCAAACTTTCTTTGATCTCCGCCATCTGCCTGGTGGTCAGCACATGACTCCCAAATTCATCTTAACAAGCAGCCCTCCACCGATCCCTGGACATAGACATGCAAGTCCTAAAAGCGTATGAGGGGACTTATCCACGAACGGACTCTCAGCGCCTGGAGGCGGGGTCCAGTCTCTACAGTTCAGAAGAGGCGCCTTAATCTGGCCTGGCTCACATCGGACCTGAGCACTGCTGTGCATTATACTGAAATCTCTGGAGCTTCTGACATACTCACGCAAAGTCCATGGGCCCGGACGATGATGAAGTCGAAGCTCTTGCACAATTCGAAGAACTTGTCGTGTTCCTCATGCGTGTAGTGGATAAGCCTTGGACATCTCTGCCAACACGGTACCGCGTGAACGGCTTGCATTGTCAACACATCTGCAATTTGCTTTTCTTCAGGCGCAGAGCGTTCCAGCATCTTTCGAGAGATCGGGAGACACTTGGGCACTATTGGTAATCGAACACACTGCCCCTCTCTTGAGGCCTGTACTGGCAGCTCAGTCCAGACCGGATCATGCCGTTGGCCATCACCAGGCTGTCGTAGCCTCTGGGTTCTCATGACTGCATCCTAGAAAACGTGAGCTCGCGACAAGTTGAGGCCATGCCAAATGATGCCCAGGCACGGTTCCCGCTGCTGCTCTTGTCAGTGCCACCGAGCTTCTGGGTGCGAACATAGATCCTGATGCTTCAAGAAACCGAGTGGACCCAGGTCCAAGAACAAAGAGAAGCAAGGAGGCATAAGGAGGCCCTCTGAACATCGGCCCAGGCACTGTACTAAGGCGCCCTTGAACTTCGGTGAGGCAGGCTGCGTTGACAGGCCCTGTGCTCGTGGTCTTGTGGGCTTCGCGTTGCGTTCACGTAGAGAGTCTGAGTAGAGTTGTGTACGCATGACGACACATGTGTATAGAAAGGATGCTCGTTCTCGGTTTTGCAAGCCAAAGCGAAGCCAGCTCTGTGAGCCCTTTTAGCACCATCACGCATCTTCCGTCATGTCTTGCCTTGAAATCCTTGGCCACGGTGGAGATGACCTGCCGGAGCAGACGTGCTCACCGCCGGAGGAGATGGTCAGAATCCGAGTGAAGCGGTGATCTGAGCTGGCATGACCAGATTACCGCGGCCCCAACAGAGCAGTCCACCGGACCGGGGCAGGGTCCTCCCGCGCCTGCAAGGCAGTCGAATAGCGCCTAGGACGGTGGAAGCGCCTTTTTTGGGCGGTTCGAGCTCGCTGGGCGTGTGCCTGGTGCCTCGTCTTCCACGACAGATCTGCCTGACGTATGCGGCGGCTACTATTCCGGTGTCTTCAGGTGTGGCTCAGGGGGTTCACTTAATTACAAGTAGCTCCAGGGCGATGCAGGGCTTGAAGCGAAGGCGATTCGTTCTGCTACCGTTCCACATACAGTTCTCTATAGCTTATGGCGCGACCTTCTCCCCTCATCAAGTCCTCCTTTCCCCTTTGCAGTTGCTATGAGTACATCGGCTAACTTAAATATAGGGCCGGTGCCAGCGCTCAGCAGGTGAAGCAAAGTGAAGCAGAGTGGCCTTCCAGGCCTTTGAGGGCGTCAGTGAGCTTCTGTTGCTGCTCGGGGCTTGCCCCTGCAATGGTCGTCTTGAGCTCCTGCAGTCCAGTCTGAACCAAACAAAGACGTGCACTTGCAGTACAAGTAGTACGAGGTACATGCACGTACATGCACATTCGGTCAGCACCACGGATCTCTCAGCCGCGGGCTTCCACAGTTGCGTTCTTGGCTGCTTCCGTAGCGGACGCAGCTCCAGCACCCATGGCGGAGAGGGATCGGCTAAACAATCTTCAGCAAGAGAATGCACGCCAGATCATGCCGGGCTGCACGGCCAAGGGCCAAGTCTTGGAACTCTGGTCCTCCCCTAAGGGCTGCGTTCTCGCTGCCAAATACCCTTGCTTCATGAAGCATCTTTATTTACGATAGGGAACGATTCGGGGGACCACGCGATACCGCGCGGAGCGATGACTAAGCTAAAAAAGCTGTGCCAGCAGCGGAGGTTCTCAGATGCGGGCGACAGCACCACGCTTAGGTCAAGCGGCAGCAACACATGGCTACAGCATGGCTACAGCATGGCTACAGCATGGCTACAGCATGGCAACAGCATGGCAACAGCATAGCAACAGGTATGGCAAGCGTCTGAGACGTGGTGTACCATGAAACATGAATGAAACCAAAGAACAATGGCAGGCCGCGGCTAAGCCAAAGCCTAAGCACGTATCACCATGTCTCGGACCTTGAGTATCCACCCTTGTCGAGAGTTCAGTAAGAAGCTGCGCCGCCTCCTGCAAGCATCCGACACACAACACACGACGCTTCTCTCATTCCGACTGATCCGAGAATCCGTTTGTCAGGGTCTGGGCCTTGAAACGCACTCCGACATGAGAATGACGCTGCATCCATGTGTGATCGCCAAGTGTGGAAGCCTGGCACCGCTCGTCCGTACCCCCTGCGGCAGCCAAGAGCTTCTCGACCAGATTGTCCTGCGTCGGGGGCTAAGGATGCTAAGGACGCCTTGCACAAGGTATACATCAGATGTGTACCATCATGCGTCTGTAGTCTGTATGTTCCTTAGCCGCGTTTGGGCCTGGGAGGCTGGGGAAGTCTGCAGACTCAGGGCGGGACCTTCGCGCCCCGCCCCCCCCCCCCCCTCCCCCGCTATATCGTAACTCCAGACTTACAAGCGTTCAAGAATCGGGCCTTTTCTTGAAGCGATGGCCTGATTGCGCTTTGGTCACCGAGAGGGTGTGGGCAAAACACTCGGAGTCAAGCCACAGAACTGCCCGAGAACTCAGAAGGCCGTCGGCTTGGAAGTTTGCGTCTCTTCGGCTTCTCCGCGAAAACCTCGGGATGCAAATTGCTGCAACATGTTCAATGTTCCAACACAACAATTCTGTGTCAAGGACTGACATGGCCCTCCCCGTGCTGGCGGTGCCCCATGCTACGATACTTGGGAAGCTTGAGTGGCGGGCGACGGAATCTTGGAGGTCGCGTGTGGCAAGCGGAGCCCGGTCAACGCAACAACCTCCCATGACGAATGGATCTGCGACATGGATTGTGATGCTTATCAAAAGTAAGGCAGACGATGCTTCATGACTGTCACAAGTATAAGGGCTTTGCGATTTCTGCCCGCGTCTTGCACATGTGTGAAATGCGGGAACTTGGTGAAACGATGTGAAACATCGATTCGAGTCGCAGGTGAGGACAAGGCCACAAGGAGAATGCAAACGCTGCATTCTAAGCCGAAAACATATGAAAACATGCGCACGGCATGACAGGGCTACAGCGACTGCATGTAGTTGCGACCGACACAGCTCTCGAACTCGCGTTGCTGAACCTCAAGGACTGCTGGCTTGGCGGCAAAAGGGCGGAGGGCTTCGTCTGCAGACTGTCCACAGCGGTCTCCCAGCAACAGGCCAGCGAGTTCCTCCTCCTCGAGGAAGTTCTCATCATCCTCCTCGTCATCCTCACCGCTCTCAGTGCTCTCAATCTCGAGAGCCTCGTCGAAGACAAGTGATGCGACCGCTGGGACATGTGATGGCTCCTCTTCGACGAGGTTGAGCTGCTCCAAGAGGTACTCAAGCTGTCGAACCGCGACCTCATCGCCCAAACTACTTGCCTGACGGTGAATCGATCGCAGCGCCATCTCCAAACCTGCATTGCGAGCAGACTGGCGGAAGCCCGAGAGCGACAGCAGCGAGTAGAGCGTCCCATTGATGTGAGTCCTGATCTGCGGATTCCAGTGCTCCATGAGCTTCATAGCCATCGGAAGCACATCTTGCTCGAGGCACTTCCGCTTTCCAGTCGAACGGAGGGCTAGATTCATGAGCATGGCGGAACCAAATTCCAGTGAGAACTCGGAGGGAGCGCGGGAAGCGCCCTCTTCCTGCGAGGAAAGTACACAGACTGCCCATTCGACCATACCCATCTCAATCATGCAATCCTGCGCTGACCTTCGTAAAGAGAGGCGCTGCATGGCAGCAAGAGCCTGGATATGGATGGAGGAGTCCAGCGGCTTGGACTTGAGCAGTTCCACCATCCTCTTCACGCAGGAAGAGCTTGAGACCACGTAGCTGCGTCCGACCGCTTCACAGGCCAACACCGCCAGGATGCCGAGTGTCAGCAGCTGTGTTAACTCTGAGTCCACCTGTGAGTAATGCGAGTACTCGTCCTTCAAGAGCGCTGGTAAAGCATTTGGCTGGTCGCGTACCCCGAGCACGTCGAAACAGGTGATCGCAACCAGGAAGCCACGGCGCTGGGGCAGCGGCGACTCCGCTGAAGCGAGCCGTTGGAGCACCGCACGCAGCACTTGCGGAAGCGTTGCGGCAACCTCGCCAAAAGCCTCCCGGCGCTGCTGCGGTGTGGCGCAGAGGAAGGTCTTCAAGGCCCCAAAGTCCAGCTGGTGCGCTAGCTGTGGCCGTGACGTGGCTGCGCGGCTGCGCACGCTGCGCGCGGGGCTCATGGGACAAGCACCCCTGTCCAAGTGCGACTTGAGTTGCAGCTCCAGGCCTCTTGGAATGTGCTCACGAAGCAACTCAAGCTGCTGCCGGGCCGATGAAAGAACTGGTGGCGCAGGACTTCCTTGTGCCAACAGCATCATGGAATCGAGGCTGGCATCAGCCAGCCGTAGCAGCTCAGCCCAAACAGATTGCCACGAGCGCTTCCCCTGTTCTGTCGGTGAGCGATCCAGAATGTCGTAGATCCGAGGGATGGGCCGTTGGGAGCGAAGGGCCGCCTCTACATCCCGGCGAAGGTCTTGGAACCACTGCAGGGAAAAGACCTCACGAACGTCTGGGTGCGCATGGGGTCGCTGCACAAACGGGAGAGCAAAGAGTGGCATCAGAGCCTCGTCTCCGCTCATCTCATCCAGCCCACGCTCATTGAGGAAGGTCAGGAAAGGCTTTAGATCCTCCTGCATCTCTGACACATCGGGCTCTTTGCCGTTCTGGAGGGTCAGCCTGGCCCGGTGGATTGCAAAGTTGGCCTGGAGTCGGAGCTGCAAGGCGCCCACCTTGGAGGTGGCTTCGTGGTCCGGCATGACACGACTCCAGGCAGAGCTGAAGGCTGCTTGATCACCGGCATCCAGGCTGCAAAGAACATCCTCTACTTCTCGCACTGCGTTCAGCGCGATGTTGGGGCTGCGCAGGAGCCCGACGCGCTCGATCTCTCGCTGGAAGGCGGCCAAGGGCTCCTGCAGTCGATGATAGGCGAGATACTCCTCGATCGCTTTGATGATGGTAACCTCTCGCAGCCCAGCCCCATGATCGAGCACTGTGCACCATGGCAGCGGCGCCTCGGCAGCCTCGGCAGCCTCGGCCGGGGCCTCGGCCGGAGCCTCGACCGGAGCTTCGGCCGGAGCCTCGACCGGAGCTTCGGCCACCAGAGCTTCGGCCGCTGGAGCCCCCGCCATGTGCCAGGCTGGCCCCACGCGTCATGCCAATCTCAAGTGGGGGGGGGGGGGGGGGGTCGGGTTCGAGAGGTCTTAAGCTGTGAGAACTGACGAAGCAGAAACCTTAAAACACGTCATGGGATGCAAGATGCTACAAAAGGGGAAGGGCCATCACAAGAGCTGCAGTAGGTGATGCTTCTTTCTGCTACTTTGAGAATCCCTGAGCTGCAAGCACAAACGAGTTACTTGCGAGACAGCTATTGCTGCACAGATTCTTCAACGAGCTGGCTCGCTTTCCCAAGATAAACCAAGGGTTGCCCCCAAGGACTGAAGGACTGTGTTCAGAGCCTCAAGCATCCTCTGGCACCAGGTTTGGACCTGGATCGAAACGGCTCGCGTTGGGGGTTGGGTTGATTTGAGAAAACATGAATTTCATCGGATTCAGTGGAAGGGCTTCGGGCTTTCAGGACCCAGGGCCCATGAAGCATGTGGACTTATCAATCTTGTAGAGTTCCGGGTTAGGGTCCAAGGAATCGTCAGGCCAAGCCAAACCAGAGACACAACCTGCCTGGCGAGGACGTGCCCGTTGTCAGCTGCAGGTCCTGTCAGCATCCCCCATCTGCTCCTCATGCCCTGACGACTGGAAAACTACGGGACCCTAGAACTGGAGGAGCAACTTGAGGAGGTAGAAAGGCGACATTCGGCCCCACTCAGTGAACAACCCAAAAAACACTCCGAACCCTATTTCCTGAAAGAATTTGCCTGAAACAAAGAAAAATAAATGTAAAAAACACGAGGGCAGCTCAGCCCTGACCTGAGCCTCGCCACTGCGAAGCCAAACCGCCGCCTTTGCCGCAGGCAGCTTTTGGAGACTGAGGGGGTGGGGGCGATAGGGGGGCGATAGGGGGGGCTGAGGGGATTTTCAGGGGGTCTTGGGCCTCCGGGGTTCAGGATGAGTGTCTCAAGGCACCTTTGGGTTTGCGCTGAGGGAATCTCGCCACACCGCTTGACACCTCCGGCTGCGTGAAGAAAACAAGAACCCTCCCCCCACCACCCCATCTCCACCGCGCCTCTGGACAGGAGGGAGCCACAACCTGCGCCAGTCACTCGCTGCCGGAATTTGTACCGTAAGAAATGAGGAAATCTGTGCTGGACGTGGGTATCAGGATGAAAGTGGATGATCAGCGTCAAGGCCGCTGTCGCTTGGCTTCACACAAAACTCTGTCTAACCTCACCCATGGGTTTGCTGGGAGACTGCCAGGAGCCTTTGCCACTGCGCGCAGTTTGCTGAGCTGCGAGGCGCCGCGGAAGACGGAAGGATCTCACAAAGACTTGCACAGGAATGGTAGGAAGATAGCAAGAAATAGGAAGAGCTGCACTTGAAGGTTGCATGGCAAGGCCAGAAGATGACTCCGGCAATTCTTGGGAACACGTGTGCAAAGCCTGGTGCAACTACGATCAACGGCGTGCTGGCTGAGCTGAAGTGTCCGTGAGATTCCCGGGGCCCCTGCCGAAGGCAAGGACCTTCAAACCTGCCTCGCGAAGCTGACGACGCCTTGCTGAAAGATTCAGAAACGACTCTAAGGGACTTCGCTTTGCACATCGCTCTTTGCGTACTGGTGGCCTCAGATGTGCGGTGCCAGAGAGCCCACCCCCTGCAAGGCGGTCACCAAGCTGCTCCTGCGCCCATGTTAGGTCTGATAGGCGGTTGATGGTGTTTGACGGCTCCAGTGCCATGTCCCCCTGCACATTTCGCATCCCCATGCTCCAGTTCCAGCACAGCGCTCTGCTCCGGAAACCAGACCTGTCACAGGGATTCCCGGCTTCCACAGCAAACAAGGCGAGTTGGCATCTGAATAATAGGGCCAGCAAGGCAGGAATTCTGTAGATTCCGCCTGGCACTGCGGCAGGGGAAGCGACTACCTCAGTGTCGAAGCGCCAGACAGTTCTCAAGAGCGAAACAACCTTCAAGCGAGCTGAATACCAGCTTGGTCGCATGGGGAATTCGAAGATGCTGCAGTAGGCCTGATAGCATCTTCTCTGCCTGAGAAGAAGCAACATGAAGCAACTCAAATCGGTGGACTCCGCAAGTCTCGGCAACTTCTAGAGCTTTCGAGCTCAACACAGCATCGTAGCGCCTCTGTCTGCGGCGGCCGCCCATGCGATCCAGCAGATGCGCTGCGTGGCGACTGCGGACCAGCTGAGAGGACCTGGGAAAAAACGGTTTCTTTCTTGCACGTACTGGCACCTTGCCACCTTGCCCCTTGCCACAAGCTCAAGGCTATTTCAGGACCCACTTTTCTGGCAAGCCCAAAGCCGACGCTTAAGCTGAGTTTTTCTCGTGAAGCCGGAGCGGGTCTTCTCGAGGTCTTGGAGAAGCTAGCGCAAAGCTACCATCTCTCTCTAACCCATCGAGCTCGACGACTTCACGAGCTCACTGCTTGCCGCGAAGCCATGAGAACCAGCCACCTTGCTTGCAATGTTAGGAGACGACATCATGGCAGAACGCGGCACCTACCTAATGACCACATCCTTGCCAACCGCCCATGATGATAGCCACTGTCGCCCCACCTTGCTGCTTTGACTCCGATGACGCCGGATCCGGGTTGAGCTTAAGCGCCGCAGCCGCCAGGGCTGTGCCGTCCTTCCGGTTGTACTCATTGCTGGGGGCTTGTCGAGAGGGAGTTCTTCTCCGGGAGCTAATGGGGACCGAGCAACTCCGGCCACCAGGCAGGGTCCTGATAGCCGCTGGAAAACCTTGGTTCCAAATTGTCACATTAACTATGCCTAAACAAACTTCTATCCCGAGGAAGACGAGATGACAAGTGAGGGTTTTACATTCTAACGCACGTGTCACGAAATGCGACCGTGCGACTGAGGCTGCGAATCTCCCTCCTCGACGTCGATGTCGTCCTCCTTCAGCTCCTCGGCTTCCTCGATCTCTTCTGGATCTTCGAATTCCTCTGCATGAGGAAGATGAGTGTCACTTCCAGGGAAGGCGCCGAGAGCTCCTCCTCTCTCCGGGGTGATGCGCCCGACTCCACTGCTGGCGGAGCCTTCGCAACAAAGCAAATGGGGACTCTGTTGGCCACTTCTTGGGCACAACTGTGCCTGCTCAGCCTGCTCAGCTTCGGCCCGCGCCGCAGCTTCGGCTTCTGCCTCAGCCTACGCCATACGGCTTCGCAACACTTGATCCCTTCAGCTTCGGCCATTCGGCCCTACTGTCAAAGCTAATTACAAGACCAACGCGCCTCGCGCTGTCTGCGCTCAGCCTCCTCCTGTGGCTTACGCACAAAACGTTGTTGACCGAGGAATTGGAAGGAACAGGGAACCTTTTTTTCATTAACGGTGCAGCCATAAGGGAAGCAAGAAACCCTTCCCCTAAAAAAGGGAGGCAGGTACTACAGGGTTCACTAACGTGTGGTCCTTTTCTTGGGCTGTGCAGCCCCACGTATCAGGGCACCCCAAATGTGGACCCTACTTGAGAGAGCGATACGGGTTGTTCCTCTTGACAAGAGGCTGCTATCATCCCTTACAAACAGAGCTGTGGTTTAGGGTTTTCGGCTGAGTTGCAGGTAGTTTTCGGGCTTGATGGGCCAACGGGAGACTCAGGGCTCAAACATATCCAACACTTATTGGACTCCGGGTCACACGCTCTCCCTCTCTGTCTCGCATCCCTTTTCTCCTCCTTGCGTATCCTCTCTTCTTCGGCCTTTCGGGCCTTGGCTTGCTCCTGTGAGCGCAGAGTTCGCGCCGAAGTTCGCACGCGACGCAGTGGGAGGAGGCTCCGGTGCCACGAAATTCCCCCGCCTTTTCCTCAGTCTCCTTTTGCTTTGCCGCAGCTTTCGCCTGCGTGATCTCAAGAACGAGGCCCCGGATCTCTCCCCAAAAAGGCGTATGAAGACAACTCCCCACGGCTTCCTTCTCGACGGCGGCCTTCTTGACCTTGTCGGCAGCCTGGTTCGGATTCAACAGCACAGATGCGGAGCGTGGGCTTATAGGACCTTTGTCGGCTCCAAAGGGCCTCCAGGCTTCCCCGATGCAAGCATGCTTCTAGAGGAGCCGCACCTGCTTGCGGTCCTTCTTGTTCAAGTTCTGCGGAGCTTTCTTTGGCTTCGCATCCGCACTGGCCTGGCAGCAAATGTGTGAGTTGTCTTTTCGTCTGCAGGCATTCTCGGCATGCATCAGGCAGCAGTTTACGGTGAACAACGACATGTATGCTGGTTGGCCGGCCGTCTAAAAAAAATATTAAGGCCATAACAGCAACTTCTCGCAATCTCGGCTGACCAAACGTGCTTCGACGCATTTCTTGCCTCCGCTGAATTTGACTCTGCAGCCTCGGGTTGCCGGGACGCGGTGTCCTGGCACTCTTCGAGAAAAAGGAGTAGACGCTGCAGACAAGTTGAAGAGTTGGCAGGATGTTTCTGGATCTGAGAACCCGAATCGTTTCCCGCAGGCCCCGTGGCTCTTCCTCCCCCCTCATGGTTTGGGGTGGTGGCATTCCTACCGAAGTCAGCATCAAAAATGTCCAAATGTGTTGCAACTTGTAAATCTTGGATCGCCCCTCAACCACAAGTCGTACATGGCGATCAGCATAAGGAAGCGCTGTGGTGACGCTTTTATCTTGTCGGTGTGAATGCCTTCCCCATTTTCCTTACTTCGCTTGGCAGCTTGCCAGAGTTTCTCCTCGGCTTCTTTGCCAGTCATTGTCTGCACCTCTGCCACCGCAGTGGGAAACTTCTCAATCCGCCCGTTCTGAGCTGTGTTGCTCTTGAAACTTGTCAAGTCTCGGGAGAGGGGCTCCCCCGAAAAGGCTGCCAAAACTTCTGCCGACACTGCTGAACAAGTCATCGGCCGGAATGGTCATTTCCTTTTGCATGTTGCCCCTGTTGATGGTGTGTATTACAGTGGCACCTAAGAACCCATGACCTTTCGTGCACACAACTCTCCGCAACTCGTTCGTGGTGGTGACTATGTTGCCATCCACGACAACTACTGATCGGAGTTCGCTGAGATTCCTTTGCTCTTCGATCAAGAAGTCGTATACCGCACAAAGATCCCTGCTCAACGACTAGCAATTTCGAGCGCAGCGATCTGTTGACAGCAAAATGCCATCAGTTTAGAAAGTACATCTCTGCGGACTGCGATGCCCTTTATCTCTGCCTGAAAGGGTTCGCTGCTCCTTGACACTTGACACTCGCCCTTTCCTGGACAACTGTTTTAAGAGAGCAGCAATCAGCTTGTGGTTTTTCGAGTCATCTTGCAGACTTTTGAATGGTCCCTCTCCGCTCGCTCTCGCTCTTTGGCTTCCTTTGTTTCTTGCTATGTTCGGCCCCACCGCACAACGCGCGCCCCACTCCAGCTGCGATGTCACATTTAGCACGCCTTAACAGATCTTTCTCAAAATGCTACTCATCCAGAATGTGTCGCAGAATGCACGTATTTGCGGGTCTGCCTCATGTCCAAGATTACAAAAAGCTTCCCATACACGAGATGGGCAAGCAGTATATTCGCATCTAATTTTCTGAAGCTCACGTTTACGAGCAAAAGTGCCATCGCACCTTTTGGCAACAGTATAGGGTGGAGGTTTACATTCTGGAAGGCAATGTAGGCTAGGCTTTTGCAGCTTGTGAGTTTCACATCAAGCGAAAGCTGCTTTAATTTGGGGGTGAGAGATTTGGAGTTTGAGGGGTTGAGGGTTGAGCTTGAGAGCTTGGGATTTGGGGCAAAGGATGTACTGGGATCGCGGGTTTACGGAGCCGGGATGATATTCGTTGATTTGTCGTACGAGTACAAGTCAGGTACTGCCTACACTTCCTCGGCTGAGTGCGAGTAAGTGGCTAACGCTCTAGGCTATAGCGCTATTTTAGTTCCACATTGGTGCTTCAGAGCTGTGGTTGGGGGGGGGGGGGGTCTTCATAACGAAGACGTAGAGTAGATCATGGTTCGTGCCCCCTTCTATTACCAAATCAAACAAGGCTTGAGAACTCACCAATCAGGTGCATTGGTGCGTTGGTAGACCTTGAGCACCTTTCCCATAGGCCCTGCCTCGGGGAGAACTGGCTCGACACCTTCCTCGTCGGGGTGAAGGCCGAATCAGGGGAACAGATTCCGAGACCGGAAGGGCCGAATCAGAGACCAGGAGAGGGGAATCCGAGACCAGCAGGGCACCAGACTCAGAGACCAGGCAGCCAGATTCCGAGACCAGACATGGGATTCAGAGACCAGGCTCCCAGATTCCGAGACCAGACACGGGATTCAGAGACCAGGCTCGCCGAATCAGGCACCCGACCGTCTCCAGCCGACCCGACCCACCCCACCGGCCCCTGACCCCTGACCAAGCAACCCACCCGACCAGACCAACCCAACCGGACCCAACCCGCCCGACAGCTCCGACCAAGCCGATCGACCCGACCAACCCAACCAACCCGACCAACCCAACCCAAGCAGCCAGGGACCCTCAGCAGTGGGCGAAGCGACCGCAAGAGTGGACCAATGCATTCAGCCACCATGACGTACCCTCGTGGCAGAATGCTGTCGGCACGGTCCTGTGGCGTAGAAATAACCCGACCCAAGCAACCCACCCGACCAACCCGACCAACCAACCGGACCCGAGCCACCATGACGTACCCTCGTGGCAGAATGCTGTCGGCACAGTCCTGTGGCGTAGTAATAACCCGACCCGACCCACCCGACCGGCCCCTGACCAAGCAACCCACCCGACCAACCCGACCAACCCAACCGGACCCGGCCCCGACCAATCCGATCGACCCGAGCAACCCAACCAACCCGACCAACCCAACCCAAGCAGCCAGTGGTCGAAGCGATTCAGCCACCATGACCTACCCTCGTGGCAGAATGCCGTCGGCACGGTCCTGTGGCGCAGTTATAACCCGACCCGACCCACCCGACCGGCCCCGAGCAGCACCGTGGGCCCACCCGACCGACCCGACCGACCCAACCTGAACTGTGACACGACCGAGCCGACCAAGCCGACCGACCCGACCAGACCAATGCAACCGGACCCGACCCACCCGACCACCCCGACCAAGCCGATCGACCCGACCAACCCAGCCAACCCGACCAACCCAATCCAAGCAGCCAGGGACCCTCAGCAGTGGGCGAACCGACCGAACCATGACGTACCCTCGTGGCAGAATGCTGTCGGCCGACCCGACCCACCCGACCGGCCCCTGAGCCCTGACCAAGCAACCCACCCGACCAACCCGACCGACCCGTGACCCGACTCACGACCGAGCATCCGGCCCCAAAGGAGTCTACCTGACCCGACCGCACCCGAGCAACCCCACGACCCGAACAGCACCGTGGGCCCACCCGACCGACCCGACCAACCCAACCCGAACTGTGACACGACCGATCCCCCCCAAGCGGCCCGCTTGTGTTTTTTGCTCGGGCAAGCCTGTTTCAAACGAATCCCTTCCAAACCCATGATGCGGGCATTGTGTTTGCAAATGGGGGGGCTGCGCCCACCCCAACTCCCCCGCTTCTATTTTTTTACTCGGGCAGGCCTGCTTGAAACGAAGCCCTTCTTTTCGTCGGGCAAGCCTGCTTCAAACGAAGCCCTTCCAAACCCGTGACCATGATGCGGGCATTGTGTTTGCAACTGGGGGGGCGCACCCCAACCCCCCCGCTTTTATTTTATACTCGGGCAAGCCTGCTTCAAACGAATCCCTTAGAAACCCGCTGCGCCCCCCCCCCAACCCCCCCACCCCGCTTGTCTTGTTTACTCGGGCAAGCCTGCTTGAAAGGCATCCCTGCCAAACCCATGATGCGAGCATTGTGTTTGCAAATGGGGTGCGCCCCCCCCGCCCCCCCCAACCACCCCGCTTTTATTTTGTTACCACTTTTTTTGACTCGGGCAAGCCTGCTTCAAACGAAACGCTTCCAAACCCATGATGCGGGCGTTGCTGCGCCCCCCCCCCCAACCCCCCCGCTTTGATTTTTTACTCGGGCAACCCCCCCCCCCGCAACCCCCCCCCGCTTTTATTTTGTACCGTTTTTTTACTCGGGCAGGCCTGCTTCAAAAGAATCCGTTCCAAACCCATTTTTTACTCGGGCAAGCCTGCTTCAAACGAATCCCTTGCAAACCCATGACGCGGGCATTGTGTTGGCAAATGGGGGGGGCTGCGCCCCCCCCAACCCCCCCGCTTTTCTTTTTCCTCGGGCAGGCCTGCTTCAAACGAATCCCTTCCAAACCCACGATGCGGGCATTGTCTTGGCAAATGGGGGGGGAATCGCTTCCAAACCCACGATGCGGGCATTGTCTTGGCAAATGGGGGGGGCTGCGCCCCCCCCAACCCCCCCGCTTGTATTTTTTACTCGGGCAAGCCTGCTTCAAACGAATCGCTTCCAAACGGTCAACCCAGTGGTTACAACAATCAACCCTTTGGTTTCCCTTGACGTCCCTCTGGTTTCGGATGCCACCCTGTCTGGTCTCTGATTCGGCCCTGTCCGGTCTCTGATTCGGCCCTGTCTGGTCTCTGATTCGGCCCTGTCTGGTCTCTGATCCTGAGGGGGGTGATTCTGGAATCTGGTCTCGGTTTCTGCCTGTCTGGTCTCTGATTCTGAGCCTGGTCTCTGATTCGGTGTGTCTGGTCTCTGATTCGACCCTCTGGTCTCTGATTCGTATTTTTTTCTCCTCGTCGCAAAGTCTATGCTAGGGTCTGCAGGTTTAGGCTTAGGGTTGCTGCATATGAAAATGTGTGGGGCCATACCTTAAAGCCGAGACGACTAAATTCGGGCTGCGCACACACGTCGACTGCAGCTTGCGGATCTTAGCCCTCGTGGACTCTTGCCTGTTTCTTGCCCTTCTTTCCTTTGGACTCCTCCAGTAAGTCACACGAAGCACGTGCTACTGGCGCCAGAAACCCGGCTTGTTTCTTTTGGGCATTGCAAGGATTATAAAGTTTGTTTGGGTTCACGGAGGAGACTTTCTGCCGAGGGCATCACACATCCAAAGCAAGGCTGCGACTCCTTCTTGGCCACTGCTTTGGCTTCTACTTTTGCCTGCGTTCACAGCGTTCGCAGCTGCAGCCCGGAGAAGCCAACCCAAGAACGAGGGTTTCAGGCCTCTGCGGTTTGGCATTGAAGCTTCTCCGCCATATGGCTGTCTGCCTGTTGGCTGTCCGCCTGAAGGCTGTCTGCCTTGCGGGAGCTCTTGAAGTTTCTCGGAATCTGTCGTTAACGCAGGCTGGTGGCAAAGAGAATGCAGACTTTGCATGAGCAGACGCTGCAGACATGTAAGCATTCAGCACCAAATAAGGCAGGCAAGCACTTGCCGGATTAGTAAACTGTGTGTCGTTGCAAGTACAGCCGGTAGCTGACGTAAAGCTTTGCTCTTTGGATTTGCTAGGAGAATGGAACGGCTTGCTTTGCTGGTTGAATAAGGGCTGCGGCTTCATCTCCTTGCTGTTCCCCCTAACGACACCAACAGCAGTAGCAGCAGCAGGGGTGAGGGTGCGAGGCTGCGGGCCCTACCGCATGCTGTCTGTCCTGCCGTCTGTCCAAGCCCGCAGTCGAGCCGTCTGAGTCAGCATGTCTGACAGGCACCTGTCATCCCGAAAACCAAGTTGAGACAAGCTAGTTCTCCAAAGCACACTCCAAAACTCCCTCATCCCTGCACCCTCGAAACCTGGACCCCTACCTAGAACCCCAATCGCCAAGTCTCAGAAAGAATGCGAAGGTGAGAGCTTGACGAATGGCTTTAGTCAACAGTGAGGGTACAGAAGATGCATGTTGATGCAACTTGCTCCTTTCAACTAGCTCGATTCGATTGGTTTTCTGCTTCAGGTACTGCATGTTAAAAGATGCTAAGACGGTTTGACGTGGGTTTACATAGCTTTTCGACCGTTTACCGGTGGATGTGAGACACGCCAATGCAGAGCACGTTACTGACAATAGTTTAAAGTTTAGCGAACTGCTCCCAATATAGCTAGGGTTTCGGGCTTCGTGACCTGGACACCAAACAGGATAGATGACTGCCAACGAGTTGTCCAGTCTTGTTTTCTGGGGTGAGGTTTTCCGAAGTATCTGATTCTGTTTCCGAATGATCGCTTGTTGTGTTCTGAACTTTCAGTCAAGTGCCATGCTTTAGATCACCAGCCCCCCACCTGACTCCCTACCCTGGCCTTGCAGCTCTCAGTCTCGCTGACATTGGGGCACTTGCAGACGGCCTCGCCACAAGTTGTCTTGAGGGGGAATGCCCATCTCAGCTCTGTTGCAGAACGGAACGGGTACTGAGTGATGTGTCGTAACAAACGTCCAGCAAAGCTAAGCAGAGCAAACTCGTGCAAACTGCTTCCAGCAAACCTTTGCCTCCTCAGGTACCGCTTCGCGAGAGGCGGAGGCCTTGTACATTGCAATGTGTTCAAACGTGTTCGTTCGTATTCGCGGTTAGCAGTAGAAGTACAAGAAGTTCCCCGAAGTGGTCGGTGTGCTGCCTCCAAGGCTGCAGCGCCGACTTCAAACGAGCCGCCCTGATCAGTGGCTCACTTTGAGGAAGCACTGATGCACTGGTCAGAGTTACCCCCAAGCGCTCAACGTGGGCACACTGCTTCAGACCACGCCTGCTCCAGCCGCTGAGCGATTTCCTGAACGATCAAAGGCGTCTGTTTGTCGAGTCGCGGCCCCTGGAAGCCCTAAAAACCTGGTGGGCCTGGTGGGATCCCCGTTTTCGATCCTAGAACCAGGCCAGCGGAAACCCGAAGCGGAATGCAAGGACGAGAAACTTTAGAAAGGGGCTTGAGCCAGCTTTGGAGCAAACTTGAAATAGCTTGGAGATAGCTTGAATGTCTATTTCCACAAGCTCGGCTGCTTCGAGGACGTATGGGAGACAAGTGAACTCCGCACTGGCCGAGCCGCTTCGCACTGCCGGCGCAAAGCCGCCAGGCGCTCGTGCCGAGCTGCGGCCGCACTGAGGCCCTGTTGGTGTTTGGAGTGTTTGGATTGCTTGATATTGTTTGGACTCTTTGGACTCTTTGGACTCTTGGACTCCTTGGACTCCTTGGACTCTGTGGACTGTTGGCATCGCGCATTGTGGGCTTGTGCTACTGGTACAGTACAGGTCTCCCGCGCTCCCCCCACGCCTGCTGCGAGGCTTCATGCGCTGCTTCGGCACGCTGCCGAAGCCTGGGCTTCACCAGGCTGGAGTAAACAGACCAAGCGTGATCCACAACGCAGCTGAATTCACCGACATAGAGTGCAGCCACGCTGCGCTGCATAGCTAGATTCAAGCTGCTGCACAGAGGACTTCACCTGCCGGGTTCCATGTTTCCTCTCACACCGCAGCACCTCAGCGAAGCACGAGCGTTGGCATTGATGAGGATGAGGCAGATGACGAGGACGAGGACGGGGACGAGGACGACAATGACGACGAAGGACGATGATGACAATGTTGATGATGATTATGCTGCATCTGTCTGAACTAAGGAAGGTGGTGTTAGGTGTAAGTTTAGTCCTTGCGATGCGAGATTAGCTACTGTCACGGTGTTCAGCCGGCCGAGGTCAGATAGGCCGCATGGCACACAATTCGGTCAGGGGCAGGCCTGCTGCTTCAAAGCCTCCGCTGCACGTGAAACCTGCAATGCAAAGCGGCAAAACGCAAGCGCTAAGACGATCTTGAAGTCGTAGACTCGAGTTGACCCCTCTTTGTGATGCTGACGACACTCTGAAGGGGGCTTGCGGTGCCTCTTCGAACTCGCCCTCCAGCGCTCCAGAGGCCGGCGCCATATCAAAACGCACGAACGCGTGGATTCTGTGATTTGCGGTGCCGCAAGTCCTACAGTCGACTTTGGGCAGATTCGGTTGGATAAGCTTTCCCCTATGTGCAACAACCATTTTTGGCTGTATTGACTGTTCACTCAACTTCTACTTTGGGCAATCCTGCTCTTTGAGCGCTGCACAAGATGAGACGAAGCACGTTGCTGCGGCTGCCGCGATCTACCGCGGTTCTGGTCTCACTTCTTCTCCCGAAACTTGCTGGGACTACCCACAAAGCCTGCCACACCAAAACATGAGGCCGCAGCCGCCGCCGACCAGGCCGGCTGATGCCCTTCGGGGTCTTGCTGCTGCCTCTGCACCGTGGGCCGCACTGGAATCTGGGCTTCACATGCTTCACATGCTTCACATGCTTCACATGCTTCCACACAGCACGGGGCGGCAGCACGAGGCCCACACTGGTGCCAGCACAGCTGCTGCAGTGGACGAAGGTCCATTGGGCCCAGGGCCTCCAGTATCAGTTCCTCAGTCTCAAGATCTGTCTCTCATTCTTCGAGTTGGATGCTAAAAATCATTCATATATAAGAAAGAGGGAGCGGGCCTTTGAGATTTGTCAACTTCGGAAAGCTTTATGGCTTTACGGAGTGATGTGAGCCCACCTCTTGCTGGATGCCGACTGCAAGATTGCGTTTCGCATCCACATTGCAGCGGCAAGCAAAGGCAGTGAGTTTTCATGGAATCGATGGGCCGTGCCATGCGAGAACTCTTGCAGGGCCACTGGGGCCCATGCGCCGTCTGCGTCGCCAGCAGCAAGCAGCGGCCGGAGTTCGGACTCTGCACCCTCGAGTGCCAGGAGTGCCCACCTGATGCAAGCACTCCGAGCCTAACATAACGACATAATGATCCTTTTGTCAGCCCCGTCGCAAATCACGTGGTGTTCAGCAAGGTGCAACTGAGGCACGCAAGGCGCAGAAAGCTTACCTTGGAGTAACGGCTGGCACAGCACTACACATGTAAAGAGCGCAGGAGATAGGGAATTGTTCTGGGGCGTGCGCTTTGTCCGCTATCTCACTCGCCGGCGAAGCCTTCTCATGCACAAGCCGGTGGCTGCTTCATCGGTCAATCAATCAATCCATGCGGCTGCCTGCCTCTGCCGTGGCTACCATTCGAGAGATCATTGCCCGTGCAGCACCCGCGTGCATTCGAACCTGACAACCGCAAGGTGCTCCAGACGGAATCTGTGGATGGGAAGCATCACTCTCTGGCCCGAAATAATGAACTGAATCTTGAATGGCTCAGCCCGCACATTCGAATCTTGGTGGTGGTCTTGTCTTCGAAAAGCTTTTCAGTGGCCGATGTGGATCGCACCGGGTTCTGGGGAACAGTTCTTCAAACGCTGCTCACTCTCCGAAAAGCGACTCTCTCCCTACCTTCCCTTTTAAAGGCAAGGTCGGATCCAGCGGATTGAGCCACTGGGTTGCAGCTACAAATATTGTTGTGAAGGGCTGCCTCGAACAGCCTGCCTCTTGCTAGTCGGACTTGCGCGCGTGGAGTCAAGAAGTGTGAGTTGCGCAAGCCCAAAGGCCACGTTCCCCAAGCCCGAACAGCAAACAGCGCAGAACAGCACATCAACCCTCTGGCACGTGTCAGCGTGCCTCTGCGCAGGCCCAGCAGACCTTGGCCGCCAGCTGCACCTGCGAGAGCAGCACGGCTACGGGGGAGGGGCGGAGGGAGAGGGGGAGAGGGAGAGGGCGCGAGCCCAAGCCTCGACGTCCATGTTTTCCAAAAGCTCACCTTTGAAGGGGTTTACATCACAGAACCTCTGCGAATTGCCCTCCTCGGTTTGAGAGAAGCCGCCGAGCAGACTGCGCAGCGCCGGTCCATCGAAACCCAAGGCAGCACAGCCGAAGGCCGTGTCTGTCGGACATGTCCGTGAGCATCTCTAATGTGGGAGCACGTGAGAACCTCGGGACCTAACATGACCCCGATCAGGAGCTGCGTCTGCGCCTGCAGCAAGCTTGCGGGTTGCCAGCCGATCAGTCGGGAGGAGGTCCTGCAAGATGTCACAGTGGGCAAGGGAGGGCTTAGCGGCTTTCGCACTAAAGGCTTCGCACGCTGAGGCTTTCGTGGCTTCTGTCCTCTGCCACCGTCGCCAAGACTCGCTGGAGCGCCTCTGTCTTCACCTTCCGAGATGCTCGACAGGGAGGCCTGCGATTTCGCCCTTGCACCTGTACACTGTAGATATGTTCAGGATTTTGTGTTCAATGAGCTTAGTGATCAACGCACACCAACTCTTGCACGTTATTCGAGCTTCTCCTGCGAGCAAAGCTCTGCGGCACAAGCTGGCCAGACCAACACACATCTGGAATTATCTAGCCCAGTGAACTCAGACCAAACAGCAGAGCCAGGACATGTGACGACATGTGCTACTTTGTGGCGCTTACTTTGTGGCTTCATCAGCGGCCGGGACCTCGTTGCGGGCTTTTGTCAGAATGTCTTCGTCCTCAGCTGCAGTCGGGCTCGGGGAGACATGATTGCACACTCGGCCGGCACGATGCTGGCGTGCATACGAGAAGCTGTGAGGGTCAAGGCGGCCAGCAGCCTCTCTCGCAGCGCTGGCGCAGCGGACCTTGCGGAGCTCGATGGCTGCCAGGGTTCTTGGGCACTTTCAGTTTTTGAAATGAGGTAAGCCACCTGACTGACTATTATCTTGCACAACAGGTCCCTTCTGCCCGACTATACATTGAAAAGAGTACATTGTTCTTGTACGCGCCACCGCTCTAGGGTTGGCATGGCTCATGCAACGGCGTCATCCCTCTGGGAGGAAGCACTGCAGCTGCCGCGGCAGCTGCGCCATGGCCGCCCGAACAAGGCGCCCATCCATGCCTCTGCCCAGGTCAGAATTGCCGGATCAAGGCTTGTGACCAACAGGATCAGGATATGGGGTCAGTGAGTCAGACGAACTACTGTACGAACAGGATCAGGCAAGACCTCACCCACCCCCCAAACCAAGCCCTTCAGCCCGAAACTAATGCGAACTTCCCCTTTTTTGATCCCAAACGTTCCTGGATCCGACTGCAATCCTGCCCCAAATCCACCCCATCCTCAGCGGCATGTCCCAAGCCTTAAGCCTAAGCCCCCTAAGAATCTGGCCACGGCCCGTGAGCGCTCTGCTGGCAGGGAGCCACTCGATGAGCTCTGCCGCCAGTTCCTGGGTTCAAAGATGTTGAAGGGGCCGAAGTCCTGCCTTCAGCAAAAGACTGCTGCTTGAGCGCGGCCGAGTCACCGCCGGCATGTGCCAGCCGACTCCCCTGGCATATGTCTCACAATTCGTCACCACCACCACCACCACCACCACCACCACCACAACTACCACTACTACCACTACTACCACTAGACAACTGCAGAAGAGTCCTGGAACACCGCTCTTGCTGTGGTTTTGGCTTGGCCCCGAGGCCTGCTGCCCTTCTCCAGCCGTGCACGCAAGCTTCTCATCCTCGGGACAAGCTCATGCAGCCGACGAAGCTGCAGGAAGTCTTGCAAACGAGGGTCAGTGAGTCCGGCAGCTCTGCCGGGCGCAAGGTGCTTGGGAGACGAGGCCACAGCTGCATCAGGGCCAGCAGCTCCTTGAAGCTCTGAAAAGTAGCCAGCTTGTCCCATACTTATTGCTGGATGATGTCTGGTCTCTGACGGCATTGGTCTGAACGAGGCGACTTCGTACAACAAGGGGATCGTGACTAACAAGGTGTGGCCGGCAGCTTGGGGCACAGGCACAGCACAGACACAGCACAAACGCCTCAATTTCCAGTTGTATCAACGCAGCACCTCGACCAGGTACTTTGCCTGTTTTTCAGCTGCAAGCCTTAGGCTAAACTCAAACATTCTTGACTGTGATATAAAAAAAGCTTTACAGTCATGACTCATGACCTTTACTCCCCATCTCTCAGCAACTTGAAATGCATTGACACTGATGCCATGCAACCCTCGGCTCCAAGCCTACTAGTAACTGCTGTCCGGACACGCCCAGAAAGCTTTCAGCAAACCTGCACCAGTGGCTCAGTTTTAAGATTTAAGGCTCAGAGTAGTGGGCAAGCAAAAGCCAAAAGCACAAAAGCCGTGACATGGAGGCTCCGTGGCCTGGATGCTGGACGTTCGCCGCATCGAAGCCGGCCAGAATACGCAAGACGTCGGGCGCGGAGAAGGCCGAGGCGCGCGCCAAGGCCTGCAAAACACGCCAAAGGTTCAGAGATGCGCAGAGCTAGCCCCGAGAACATCACAACGAACGCATCCAAGCAGCTTCTCTTGTCAAGGACTGCCAAAGTGGCTTTGCCTTGACCTGGGGTCAGGAAAGCGCCCTCAACAATTTGAAGAAGCTTGAAGCCTTCTTTGCAAGTCGCTGCTGATAGCACTCACCATCACTCACCACTGGCTGGCCTGGCCCTCGCCGAAGCCCACTGCCAGCCGTGCCAACTGCCTGGGTGACAGCATGGGTGCCAGCTGGGTGGCCCGGTCCTCGGTCTTTCCGGTCCGCGAACTAGTCAGTGCCACGCGCTTTTCCCCAAACGCTGGGCCGCTGGGCCCCACGCTGAGAGCAGGTCGAGCAGCTCCCTGCCGCGGAACCAACAGCCCAAAGCCAAGATACACTGAGATACACTCTTTCCAGGCCTGTTGTCAGCGGCAAACAGGCTGAGGCAGGGAACCGAAAGTGCCAGCCACTGGCCATTCAAAACGTGGGGTGACCTCGCCTCAGCGAGACATGCGACACAAAATGCAGAGGGAAAACGGCAATCCCCACAGCGCATGGCTGACCATCCAAAAAAGTGAACCATGTTTCAGAGCCGGGAGGCAACGACTGCTGACAGTCGCTTCACTAGCTGCCTTGCTTGGCCGTCGTCCGGATCCAGGAAGCCAGCCTTTCCCAAACTGACGACCCATGCTTAAGAGCTACTTGTGAGCTACTCCGATCCCTGATGCAGCACAGAAGGCAGAAACAAATGCAAACATTCATAAGCCCGCCGGGCCTGCGAGAAGCTGACTAGGAGGCTTGCCGATTCCTGGACACGTCGCAACAGCTCAACAGCTGCACCTGCTAGATTTCACGCTGAGCTGGCTGCTGAGCTCGGCTGGCCTTGGCACTGAGCTCCCCCACGGCAAGGCGCCGCGGCACCTCGTCCTGCAGGGCCCGGAAGAAGCTCCTCCAAAGATCTCCCAAAAGATACATTGATAGCCACGACATCGCAGTGGTTAAGTGCAGACACACTCATCAGGCTTTCGTATGGAGGAACAAAATCGCGCAACCCGTATACAGTCAGAGAGGGTGATGAAGCTTGCTGCGAGTTCGGCACATGTCTTGCAGACTCTGGAGATCATGCAAAGCCAAGGCATGATAGAGCAGAGACGCCCCTCCCCTCTCCCCACCCCTCTATTTGCCAGCTCCTGTGAGCACCTTTGGCCACATCCGCACGTGAAAGTGAGTAGGCCAACGCCGACAAGTCGTCACCTGGGGCATGGCCACCGACAAAAGAAAACGGCACACCCACCGACACACACACACACACACACACACACACACACACACACACACACACACACACACACACACACACACACACACACACACACACACACACACACACACACACACACACACACACACACACACACACACACACACACACACACCACCACACACACAAATGGAACACAACACCACACCCCACACACACACCCACACACACACACACCACCACACACACACACACACACACACACACACACACACACACACACACACACACACACACACACACACACACACACACACACACACACACACACACACACACACACACACACACACACACACACACACACACACACACACACACGCACACACACAAGGATACACATGCAACATGGAAGCCTGGATACATCCCGAAAGAATTTTGCCTCCGCAGCTTTCCAGGCGGGGCGACAGCCAGTTCATCAGTGCCCCTGCCAGTTTCGTGTCGACGAAGCCCAGGAGGGCGAAAGCAGATGCCGCATGGCCTTCAATATCACTGGCGCAGTTCAGTTGAGAGTCTGAGGGTGCTGTGTCCACAGCTTGAATGGAACGAAGTGCAGAATCTGAATAGCTGAAGCAAAGCCAATGCTTGTGGCTGGCGCACGTCCAGAGCATTGCGGATCTTCAAGCTGTTCTTCCAGCTGAGCCCCCCGCGGACTTCCCGCACACCGAGCTCACCCGCATTGAGATGTGCTCGCAGAGCTGCGGCCTCACGCAACAGTTTCCACAAATGCCCCTCCCTATTCCTGCAATGCGAGGGTTGCAAGGCATCCTTGCACACCCCCCCAGACGCTTCCTCTTATTCTTGACAATAGTTGTCAAACCAAGCCGCTAGTGATGTGAACAGGCCATCATCGCGAATCTGAAGCTTTGCCAGACCATCTGCGATGAGTATGGTGTCCATAGCCTTACTGCACGCGGGATTGAGCAAAATGCACAAGCACCTGTCACCTGTCTCTCTCTCTCTCTCTCTCTTCTTCCTCTCCTCCCGTTTCTTCTTCTGGAGGATGTCGCGTCAAGTGTGGCCTTGAGAAATGGACTCCGTTGCGTTTTGTGCTGGGTTCAGTGATGCGACTGGTCCCCTCGCGTGTTCTTGCCTTCGTGTGCTGCTGGAATTCGACATGTACTCTGGCATTCGCTGCCTCGGACACCTTTGGCATCGCGTGAACTTATTCTTCTCCAAGCGTACTGGATGCGCTCCAGACCAAGCAGGCCAAGACACTGATGTCGCCCCAGGACCGAGGGCCTGTGAACAAGCAGCCGGCAACAGACTCACAGCTAACACACCAGATGCCAAAACTCGAAGAAAGCTAGGCGCACACCCGTATTCTTGGGGATGCAGCAGCGCATGTTCCAGCAATCGAGTCTTTTGCCTTCTTGGGAGGGGGTCCCGTGGCGGGGGTGGCGGAAACCCCGCCCCCCTCCCAGAGGTGAGTAGCTTAAAGATTGATGCAATCAAATATTCCAGGATGGGGTGGAGGGGTGTGCCCCGCGCTCCTACACCACTCAAGGCCGGCGGTCACGTTTTGACGCACCTGAAACACCTGAGAAAGATTCGAACATGGTCGATTTGACCTCCTACAACTCCTCATTGAGAATTGGACTGATTGGGAAACCTTGGTAAACGACAACTCCCGCACGCTCCAAGGAGCTAGCTTTCGTGACTCTGGACCTGCAATATGCCCTCAAGTGCCACCGCTTCGACCTGCCTGCGATAAACGCCGACAGGCCGCCGATGAATAAAAGAGGACATGCAAGGATCCTTTTCGTCCCCTGAAAGCACAAGAATGCTACCTTACCCTCCCACCTTCTGCCGCCTCCTCAGCTCCACATGAAGCGCCTTACAGACAGGTGCAAACGCAAACACATCACGACAAGAGGGTGCAACAGCTTGCGAAATTGCCTACACTTTGTAAGCCCCCAAGGCTAAAGGCTCAATTTGACCCTGAAGGCATCTTTCCTGTGATTCTCTCAGTCAAAAGGCCTCCAGCAGCCGCTGCGGCTCCTCACCAGAGTATGCATCCAGTCGCGAGCTTCACTCAATACTATGCCCTGCGCTGCCTATGCTTCCTGAGTAAACATATGCAAATATGTATATCCTTGTAAATTATATCCTTGTATATCTTATCTTATCCTTGTATATCCAACATCATTTCTCTCAAAATGCTGCATGCATCTCTTCCACTGTCCACACTCGGTTCTCTCTCTCGCGCAAGCTCCGAGTGTGCTGGCGTGTGCACCCGCTGAGGCCTCGTTCTGGAGCTGGACCAGGCCTAACGCCTCCGGGTTCACAGAAGCGGTTGTTTGGAGGATGGCGGGCTTTAGGACTGGTGCCTCAAGCTTCGCGAGACTGTGCAGGGATGTAGCCAACTGATGACCTTGTTGCATTGCAGATCACACACGTGGATTTGCACCGCAAAACGCAGCCCGCTTTGAAGGCCCGAGCCGGAGAATCCCACCGCTGCATCCGCGCCAAGGCTCAAAAGCTTCGGCAGCCAGGCGGGCGCCAGGCCCAGCCGCGCCAGCGCCCAGAGCCTCGGGTCTCAGCGCCGGCAAAGAGATGCAGATGGTGCCATGCGTACCAGGATCCTCCCGAGTTCCCACTCATGAGCTTGTGGTGTCCACAGAGCCCCTCGAGCTTTGCACAGCCACAGCCCAGGCACACGCAAACACGAGCTTGCGCTGAAAGCACTTCCAACGCCTGCCGAGGCTCTCGAGTCCGGGCAGATTCTCAAAAAACTGAAAGATAAGGTGCCCGTGCTGCAACCGGCGCGGCGACTGTTTGCCAAAACATGCTCACAAAGCCGAAAACCCTGTATACCCTGTACAAGTACCTGAAGCCGTGAAAGCCATGGTTCCGCCGTGCCCTAAGCTCAGGAATGTGCACACGGTCGGCGTACCAAACTACAGGTATTTTGGATGCCCTCAGCCCCCATCCGCGCACCTCGTGTTGCCAAGTTCCGACATATGAAAGGGGACAAAACCACACCCAACTTCAAGCAAGATCGTTTCCACTTGCCCCGCCATGCCCCGCGCACTTACCGACAACCTCTGATCTGGGAACGTTGAACTCGTCGGCATCTAACCCCCAATTGGTTTCCCACAGATCCCACGAAAGCTCCACAGCCATTTTGCACGCAACGACTGCCACGGTTGGGACCCCGATCTTGAGCCCGGCAGAAGAGGTAGATGCGCGGAGCGCTAGCGAGCCCTAGCAATTGCTTTATTGCCATGCGCGTTAAACAGCTCTGAGGACCTAAACTTAAATGTTAAAAACCTTTGAAGCTTGGCTCTCTGTGAACTTTCACGAGTGCCAGGCCTCGGGCTGCGCCAGGCGCTTGACGAGCTCGGCGCGTAAGGGATCCGAGGCAAAGGCCTGATGCAGATGAGGAACAGCAGAGGAACAGGGAGCCTCTGGCGGTGCAGTATGCAGACACATACTTACGCGTAAAGAGGACATGAAGAAGAAGTCGTAGACCGACTTTCAGTGGCACAGGCCGGGTGGCACATGGAACTACCAGAGCCATTAGGAATTAAGGACGATGAGCTGGGAGTCCCAACACACCACACTCTGGGTGCTTTACAATCCGATTTGGGGCTGATTCTCTCTCTCGTCAATCAAGCACCAGTACTTGCAAGCTTGGTGAGTCTATCACCCAAGATAATCACTACGGAGAAGCCCCGGAACCCCTTCAAGCTTTTCTTCGTGGAGGTCGGGAGTCTCGAGCCTTGGGCTGGAGGCTGGACCTTCTGAAGGCGACTTGAGTGAACGACAGGCACTCGGTCCACGTCTCAGACTCAAGAACATCAAGCGACGTCAGGGGGTCGTGCTGTTTGAGCAGCTGCTTGGGCAGTAGCTCGGCAAACCGTTCGGCAAAGTTGCCGGCCGTCCATCGCGGCAGCCACACTGGACTGGGCACATGGAGGCCAAAGGGCGGAACAGCTGCGGCTGGCCGTCACACCAGGAAACGCCCGTAAAGAGCTCAGTCGGAAAAGTCTGCATGGCAGGGCACCCCTGAGACAGAAAGGTCTCGGCGGTATGGTTTATTTGTTCGAAAAACTGGGCCCGAGTGACACTTCCCCCATAGAATCCGATAATTGCGTCTTGATACTCATGCCAGAAGGCATGCCAACCAGCCTCGTTGATAACATCATCGCAGGAGGCGGTTTGAAGCTTGACTTCTGTTTCGGCCAGGCACGTCTCGGCACATCCTTGAGGCTGCACCTTGTGCCTTACTTGATTCGGCCGCAGGAGCTCTACATCCTAAGCAAGTGCACCTCCTGATTCATTTGGCTCAAGCGCAAAACTTGAAACCTGAATGTTGTGAGATGTTGTGAGATGTTGTGAGGTCCAAGATCACCCAAGGTGCCATGCAGAGCTTGCTGGGTCGGTGCAGCCGCAAGTCTGGCCGCAGGTCAAGCGCAGCAGCCGGGCATCTGGCAAACCACAGAGATCAGCGAGCTCCGCGCAGGTCATGGCAGTCGGTCGTCCCAGAGCCGAAGCAGCATTCCACAGCAAGGTGTCGGCGATGGGCTGCAAAGCAGGATCTTGATGCAGCTGTCCAGTTTCCACTAGAACAGTCGTCTCCATGCAGAATGGGAACTGACTGCCAAGGTTTGAAATCGAGCGAGCAACGTCTGCGTCAAAAGTTCGTCTATTCCCGAAATAAATTGTCAGAGCCCAGTCTTCCTGCAGACTCGAAGGAGTGCCCTTGTAAGACATTACGGCTCGTTCGACAGGTGAAAGCTCATAAGCAGCTCGCACTGTAGCAATGTCCTGCGAGATCAAATTTTACATAGGCTATAGGAGAAAGGAGGATGCAGAATCCAAAGTCAAAGCGAAACCAACAGAACTCAAGGCACGTGGAAGTCTACATGCGCACCCTCTAAGACAAGTCGAAATGACGGAGAGGACGTGACAACACGCAGGGTCCTCTGTGCCAAGGCCCCATGAAACCTGCGTCTCCGTGCTGTACGCGACCACAAAGTCTCTCTTTCCATCGCACAGCTCGCGTTTGACTGTCATCATGGTCTCGCAGAGAGGCACGAGGAGGAACAGATACGAAGCCAGGACCGTGGCTAACACCGCCAGAAAATGCACCATGGACTCCACCTGGCTACGCCGGTGCGAGTACTTGACGCTGATGGGCTCGACACTTCGTATCGCGTGCTGGATCTTGATGGGCGTCATGCCCTCGAAGAGGAACTCATCCACATCCAAGATGGCGTTCAGAGCGACCGAGTTCAGCATCAGCTCCTCGATGGACGTTGTCCTTGCCAGCCATAGAATTCCGGCAACCAGCAGCACGGAGGCGATGCCTGCGCGGATGATGTACGTGATCAGCAGTGCCAGGGCACGACCCCAGGACAGGCAGTGAATCGTGTTGTCGCGGAAGTCCGTCGCGCTGGCCTCCAACGAACAACCAGGGCTCGCATGCACGTCTACTATTCTGAGGGCCACTTGCCGGAAACACAGCACAACCGGCAACGGCGAAAACTGTCAAGCAACCAAACGAGGCTATGAGTTCGCCTTTGGAAGCGTAGTGGCCGCCTCCAATGCATGCCAAATCTTCCTCAATTCCTGCAATCCGCAAGGGAAGCGGCAGCCACACTGCGCTGGACCACTCACATTGCATGTAGCCCCTGCCTAGTAGAAAACTTTCTGTGGCTGCGATGCACATTCTATACGCTTCGACGCGAAACACAACTCTTACTACTCTTTGGATACAAAGCCCGGTGTCCTTGTACACGCACAAGCTCCACAGCAAAATACACAACATGCACAGGAGAGTGCCCGGCTGCCAGAAGTTGAAGTCGAATTCTGTCGCTTGCAAGCCTAAGAAATCGTTAATTTGCTCAACAAGCGTCGCCTGGACAGTTGACAGAATTAAGGACCCATCGCCAGCACACACGCGAGAAACCAGGCTCGTTCCGGCCAAGTCCAAGTAACGAGAGTCATGGGCTATGCTTGTCCGCCACGTCTTGGCATCCTGCAATTTCGTCTCGAAAGGTTCACCCATAAAGTATTCCGATAACAGAATCTGCGAAAACGACCCCTGCATCAGCAGGTTCAGCAGCACCAGAAGCACTGCAAAGACGTTGTCAAACCAACCCACATCCGCCAGACCAAGGACCAGGGGGATGTTCCACGCACTCTCCTCAAAGCGCACGGGGGTAGATCTACCTTCCATCTCGTCTGCAGAGCAGGTTTCCGGCGATGCGTCTTGACAGGTGGTATTCTGCATCTCTGGAACGCCGAGCTGTCTTTCGACGGTCCCCAAGCGTGCCGTGAGGCTTTGGATCTCCGCTTCGAACTGCCGACGGAGTTGCTGCAGCCCTTCTTCCACCTCTTGAAGGTGGCCTCGGGGCACCTCGATGGCAATGCTCCGGAACTCGGAGGCCTCCGAGTTACACATACACTCCTCGTCGGGGGTCCCCGAGTCTGGGACCAGCGGGATCGGCATTGTGGCAGGCGTTTACATGAGTCAAGGGCTTCTCAACACTTGGTGCCAGTGCGCGTGAAATCCGGACTGTTCCTGGTATCAGACACTCTGGAACGCGTGTTGTGAACTGATGTCCTTGCTAGTGCTTTAGCTGTCCTGTCCTGGGTACAGACCCCTGTTTTCAGCTGTCACTCTCCGTGATCCCACTTACGTTTCGCTTCTGCTGTGTCATAAAAGGCCTGGAAAGACACGTCATTTTGCATATCACTTAGGGTGATTCCCCAGGGGAGTATTCCAGGCAAGTCGTTTCATTGGGGCCTCAGGGAATATTAGGGATCTTGTTCTATGGGCACCATCGTCCGTCTTTGGAAAGTTGACGTAGAGAGCCTTGAACATCCGATTTGGGGCTCTCCAACACGTAGCGAAGCCGTCAGGGTTGGTGGCGTACCCCAGCCGAGTCGCAACTGACATGTCACACCAACCCCGTAAAGCCATGCGAAATCCCCGGAAACCACATTTTTCCGCGGAGGTTGGGAGTCTCGAGCCTTGGGCTGGAGGCTGGACCTTCTGAAGGCGACTTGAGTGAACAATAGCCGTGGTCGACAGGCACTCGGTCCACGTCTCAGGCTCAAGAACATCAAGCGACGTCAGGGGGTCGTGCTGTTTGAGCAGCTGCTTGGGCAGTAGCTCGGCAAACCGTTCGGCAAAGTTGCCGGCCGTCCATCGCGGCAGCCACACTGGACTGGGCACATGGAGGCCAAAGGGCGGAACAGCCGCGGATGGCCGTCACACCAAGGAACACCGGTCAAGATCTCGGAAGGAAGTGTCTGCAGGACGGAGCACCCATAGGACAAGAAATCCTGGGCCATGGTTTGTATGAGTGCGAAAAACTGGGTGTCGGTGACGCCCTCTCCATAGTGTCCGATGATAGCTCCTTCGTACTCATGCCAGAAGGCATGCCAACCAGTATCGTTGACAACATCATCATCGCAGGACATGGAATGAAGCTGGGCCTGTGCTTCGGCCAAGCACGTGCCGGAACATCCCATAGGCTGCACCTTGTGCCTAGTTTGGTTCACAGTGGCACAGGAGCTCTACTTCCTGAAGTCTACGCGGCTTTGAAAATATTCAGAAACTGTCAAGTACACCCAAGATCACCCAAGGCACCATGCAGAGCTTGCAGCGTCGGTGCAGCCACAGGTTTGGCCGCAGGTCACACGCAGCAGTCGGGCATCTGGCAAACTACAAAGATCAGCTAGCTCCGCGCAGGTCGTGGCATTCGGTCGTCCCAGGGCTGAAGCAGCATTCCGAAAGAAAAGTTCAACGATTGGCTGCAAGGCGGGATCTTGATGCAGCTGTCCAGTTTCCATTAGAACAGTCGTCTCCATGCAGAATGGGAACTGCTCGCCAAGGTTAGTGACCGTGCGAGCAAGGTCTGTGTTGAAAGTTCTCCTGTTGTCCGAGAAGTAAATGGTCCGCGGCCAGTCTTCTTGCAGACTCGTTGGGGTGCCTTTGTAAGCCATTACGGCCCGTTCGATGGGTGAAAGCTGATACGAAGCTCGTACCGTAGCAATGTCCTCATGAAAACTGATCGGGAAGGAGGAGAGGCTGCAGAATGCAAACCCCGCAAACCCCGATGGACCCCCGGAGGTAGGTGGATATGTACATGTGGACCCCTTAAGACAGAGCATGTGAACACGCAGGGTCCTCTGTGTCCATGCCCCAGGAAACCTGCGTCTCCGTGTTGTACGCGACCACAAAGTTTCTCTGGCCGTCGCACAGCTCGCGTTTGACTGTCATCATGGTCTCGCAGAGAGGCACGAGGAGGAACAGATACGAAGCCAGGACCGTGGCTAACACCGCCAGAAAATGCACCATGGACTCCACCTGGCTACGCCGGTGCGAGTACTTGACGCTGATGGGCTCGACACTTCGTATCGCGTGCTGGATCTTGATGGGCGTCATGCCCTCGAAGAGGAACTCATCCACATCCAAGATGGCGTTCAGAGCGACCGAGTTCAGCATCAGCTCCTCGATGGACGTTGTCCTTGCCAGCCATAGAATTCCGGCAACCAGCAGCACGGAGGCGATGCCTGCGCGGATGATGTACGTGATCAGCAGTGCCAGGGCACGACCCCAGGACAGGCAGTGAATCGTGTTGTCGCGGAAGTCCGTCGCGCTGGCCTCCAACGAACAGCCCCAAACGAACGACGTCTTGCATACAGGTCTACAGTGTGAGGATTACATCCCAACTCTGATTCTGGAAAGCGCACGAGGTGCAAATTCACCGATGGTCAAACTAGTGCAGTGCGTGGAACAAGCTTGCAGCCAACCAAAATCAATCATCGACACAAGAACTGGCCTTTGGAAGGGTGGTGGCTGCTTCCAACGCATGCCAAATCTTTCGGAATTCCTGCCATCGACGGGAGCTCAAAGTAGGACCACATCGGAAGAAATAATCTCGTATTTGATTCGTAGTATTTGCATGCATGTGTGCATCTGGGAGAAGAACTCTATGGCCCTGACATACTCCCCTCACTTTGATGCGCAACCCGGTGGCCTTGTAGACACACAAGCTCCACAGCAGGATGCACAACATGCACAGGAGAGTGCCCGGCTGCCAGAAGTTGAAGTCAAATTCTGTCGCTTGCAAGCCTAAGAAATCGTTAATTTGCTGGATTAGTGTGGCCTGGACAGTTGACAGAATTAAGGACCCATCGCCAGCGCACACGCGAGAAACCAGGCTCGTGCCGGCCAAGTCCAGGTAACGAGAGTCATGGGCTATGCTTGTCCGCCAATCAATTGCACTTTGCACTCTCGTCTCGAACGGATCACCCATGAAGTATTCCGATAACAGAATCTGCGTAAACGACCCCTGCATCAGCAGGTTCAGCAGCACCAGTAGCACTGCAAAGGCGTTGTCAAACCAACCCACATCTGCAAGGCCAAGGACCAGGGGGATGTTCCACGCACTCTCCTCAAAGCACACGGGGGTAGATCTGTCTTCCGCGTTCACTGTCTCGACCCCTTCGGCACTGCTGTTCGGAGATCTGTTTTGGAAGTTCGGACTGAGCATCTCCGAAACGCCGAGCTGCTTTTCGACACTCCCCAACCGAGCCGTGATGGATTGAATTTCTGCTTCGAATTGCTGACGAAGTCTCTGCAGCCCTTCTTCCACCTCTTGAAGGTGGCTGGGGGGCACCTCGATGGCAATGCTCCGGAACTCGGCTGCCTCCTGGTTTGGCTCCTCTTCCGTCTCCACCGCCAGCTGTTTGCTGCTGGCTGAGCTTGGGATGGAAGGGGTCGGCATCGCAGCTGTCGGCTGAAAACTAGCGTGGGAGCACACCCGGCGCTGTCTGAGCACGATGGCTGCCTCTGGCCCAACACCCTCGCTTGCGTACTAAGCGGTTACTAAGCCCTATTCAAGTCACCACTCGAATCGAACAGGTAGTTTTATTTACGGCGCGTTCTCGGGATGCTCTGCGAGATTCTTTGCAGATGTGAGAACAGGAGACCCCGGAGCATGTTTGAGCTGAAGTCTCCCCACCTCAAGGGGTGGGGATCTACAAATAGAACCTGGTTCTTGGGATGATACTGCTCTGCGTACAAGGCTTGTACTTCCCGGACTGAGCGCCATTAGTTTTGAGAACGGCTTGTTTGGATCATCGCGCGGTTCTCGTACTTTGGCCTGGAGACCCTAATCATAAGAGAACTCACTTTAGGGTTTAGAGTTGGTGGGTGAAGGGTTTTAAGGCCAACAACAGTAGTTCCTGCCACGTGTACCCTTCCATGATCCCAAAACCCTAAGCCCAGAAGCTCGACCCTTCCAAACCCCGGAGACTTTGCTCAACTTGAGCCTGTGGCTACGTAAGCTAGACACGCGCCGGTAATTCTTGTTCCGCATGCAGCCGCTGTTCCCACAAGCAAGCTTTTTGGCTGCGTTCCAACAGGGGGGTGGGGGGGGGTTTTCATAGCACTTAAAGGCCCGCTGTCGCCTTTTGACGCACTTGAAACACTTGAAAGAGAGAGACAGAGAGAGAGAGAGAGAGAGAGAGAGAGAGAGACAGAGAGAGACAGAGAGCGAGCGAGCGAGATTGATTTTTAGATGAACGACAACTCCCGCAAGCTCCAAGGAGATCGTTCACGTGCCCTTTGGGCCTCGGCGGCTGCGCGGCGGGGTCCCAATCTCGCGAGACGATGGAGTGCCTATGGGTTTGGGGGCAGGGATATCACTTTTTCAGTGATCAAGTATACTACTATAGACTACTATATCCTTCTACGACTGTAATTCTAGACTACTGTACTACTGTACTACTGTACTGCTGTACTACTGTACTACTGTACTACTGTACTACTGTACTACTGTACTACTGTACTACTGTACTACTGTACTACTGTACTACTGTACTACTGTACTACTATGCTACTATGCTACTATACTACTATACTGCTATACTGCTATACTACTATACTACTATACTACTGTACTACTATACTACTATACTGCTTTTTACTGCTAGACTGCTATACTGCTATACTACTAAACTACTATACTACTATACTACTATACTACTATACTACTATACGACTATACGACTATACTACTATACTACTATACTACTATACTACTATACTACTATACTACTATACTACTAGACTACTATACTGCTATACTACTATACTACTATACTACTATACTACTATACTACTATACTACTGTACTACTATACTACTATACTACTATACTACTATACTACTATGCTACTATGCTACTATACTACTATACTACTATACTACTATACTACTATACTACTATACTACTATACTACTATACAAGTATGAAGGATTAATGAGTTTCCAAAACGCTAATTAGTGAAATTGGTCTGTAATTGTGTGGATAAAGTTTGTCGGAACGTTTGTAGAGAGGAACAATTGACGGCCCAGCTTGTGGGAATCTACCTGTATCAAGAATTTGGTATGCAGACTTGAACTAGACTTGAGGTTCCGTAGGATAGAAAGGATGGTCAGGGGTCCGAGGAGAACATTGGAGATCCTAGGGCTTCTGCTGCTTAGGGCTTCATGGGCTTCACGACTCTTTCCAAGGCGGCGTTGCTTTTCACAGCTTAGTTGCGGTGGCGGCGTGGAGGGAGTCCAGACTGTCTGCACTGCCTCAGACTCTTCGAGACCCGCGCAAGTTGTTCTCAGGATAGTAAGTGAATCAGTTGCATGGGACTCCACGTAACAGCACGCTTGTTCACGTTCAGAGAAGTTGCCGCTTTCAGCACCGCAAGATGAAGCGTTTCGTTGAGTCCTGCCTAACAGCACCATTCGCCATGCTTGCTAAATAACTGCATATCAGAGCGGCTCACAATTTCCTTAGCACAGGAGCAAGCTGAAGCAAGAACAGGTGTCAGGCATGAAGTGGCAGGCATGGCTTGCATTGGCTACATCTGCTTCGAAACGCTACGAATTGCCGAGTCGCAGTTCGTGAAGCCAAGGCAACTTGCCCATTTAGAAAACCAAGTCAGAGGCGTGCCTAATTTTTTCAGGCAAGCGGCAAGCACGTGCCCAATGCTCCTGGCAGCCACTGCGTGTGAACAGCGTGGAAACGAGTCCAAAAGGCATGAGAAGTGGCTCCGTGGTTCCTGGCCCCGGCGATCTTCGCCTGAACCTTGGCCGCCTCGGATGCCTCGGCGCCGGCCTTGGCTCTCCAAGCAAAGAGCCGGTGCAACCAACTATAGTCTCTCTATTAGAGGACACCGTGCCTCCTCCAGCGCTTCCTCCCTCGCTGGGAGGTCCACTGTTATGAACTCCAGGTCCTCTGCCCGGGTTGGGTGCAAGTGCTACAGAAGCGGGGCTTTGTCGGAGCTTCTGGATCTTCGCTGCGGGCTGGGCTTGGGCTATCCGCCTGGTGGGGTTCCAAATCCAAAGCCCAAAAAAAGAAGTCCTCCGCGAGTCCAGGTTCCTCGAGCACCCTGGAATCAACACCTTCCGGTGCACATGGGAAAGAATGGCCAGGGGAGGTCTTATTGCACTGCCTGCACCATCTGACGCCTTCGGATCCAGGGCCGCAAGCCTTTCACCAACAAATAGAACGCTTAAGCTCAGGTAAACAGCTCCCTGCTTAAGCGGAGCTCTTAGTAAAGGCCTCAACGCAAGCGGCTCGTAGGGCGGCGGTTGTGGCCGCGGCCTTTCGCCAAGAATGCTTCAGATCCGATGGCAAAGAGTGCAGCTTGGGTTCGGGTCAGGTCAGATGTCGCTTCAGCGCTGTGGCAATGACGCACTAAGGAAGGCAGAGTCCACTGCTGGCCATGCAACGTCACAGCGCGAAGATATGTACGACGACTCGAAACAGTGATCATTGGACATCTGAAGCAAGGCTGCTGCTAAATTACTGGCCGGCAGAAGAAATTGCGAATGCTCCCCAGATGAGCTGGACCCGGCGAACGGCAGTCAGGCAAATCTGCAAAACTTCATCATTCTTTGAATGCTGAACATTTGCTTTCCAAACGTTGCGCTGCCATGTCTGAAACGAAGGAGTGCCTCTGGGCCAACGACACAAGAACTCACTTCGGGCTGTTCTTACGTATGTAGGCTATGTAGGGGAATACAGAAACTTTGACATGGATGATGATCTCCATACCAATGCACGTCGCCGATGGGAGACCAGCACCTATGCGCTCCCACTCATTGCCAGACAAGAAACGAACAAGATGGCCGCACACGCACACACACACACACACACCCACGCGCACACACACACACACACATACATACATAAAGAAAGAACAAAGAAAAAAGAGACTGCCCAGCAAAACACATACTGAGCGTAAGGTGACTGTCTAAGGACATGTTGGGCTCAACGGGCATCATTGCAACCAATATCAAAAGCACTCGCCTTCTGGCAGAGCCAGGCGGGCGTTGCTTCTCTCGTGCCTGCATTTCCAGCTCCGCAGCTTTGCTTCTCATGGCACTCTGATGCCAGCAGTTCTGGCCTTGCCTCTGTCATTCGCAATCCGAATCACTTGACCAGCGGTCCCCTACACAGAAGCCGCTTCCACAAGTTCCTCGAAAATCCAAGTCCTTGAGAATTTTTGGACGGAGCACGTGGCACATTCAAAAAAATCTCGCAAGGTATTTAGTATTGAGAACACTCCATATATGTGTGCGTGGGCACTTCCTGAATCTCTCCCCCCCCCACACTGACCCAGCACCTCCGGGGCTCGGCGGCTCGAAGCCTCTTGGAAAAAGGAGCGACCACGACTCGCCACATGAGTAACCACGAGTGACCACGACTTTATCCCCCTCACCCACGGCCAGCTGCAGGCTCTATGTCTTAAGACTCCTTCTTGCTCTGTTCTGAGCTGACACTGCAGCCAGCATGCCCACCGCAGTCTGGGTCGCAGGGTCCGCCAAAGCCGTGGGGAGACATGCATGTCACTGCTCTGAGGTTATGAATGCAAAGGCCATGGCCCTGCCATGCCGGCATGCTCTACCTCTTTGTTTTGCCATGACTTGCGGAGTTGCCGCGAGTGTTGCTGTCAGCGCCTCTCTTTTGTAGAGTTATGGTCGGGCTGGTCGCTTCGTGAAATCGTGGCTTGTGCTTTGGCCGAAGATGTCCGATGCTCCCACGCAGAGCGGCGATAAAGGCGTGCCCATGACAAAGAGCAAAAGAAGGCTTAGCTCCGCTTGAGAGGGGCAGCTTCCTTTGGCGTTGGCTCTTTTCTGCTCGGCGCCGGCTCGAATCTAGCAGGTCCGCAAAGCTCCAAACCTGGATTTGCAGCACTGAGCTCATACTGGATTCTGACGGAAATAGGCCAGAAGTCCACCAACGAACTTAATCAGTGATGGTCACCTGGGGGCTGGGCCAAAAGCATAGCCAGCTCCATCAGCGACAGAGCAGGTTTGCCTGTCAATATAGCTCAGGCGCGCTTATGATGAGCCTCATGTTGCAGCATTTTGAGTTGGCTTAATACGATGCTGCTCCTGGCTGCTCTTCATAGGCTGAGAATCTTACCAACAGCAACACTCAACACATGCCTCAATGCCTCCAACTCGTGCATGCAGCTGCTTCACACGCCTCGATTGCTTACAGTAATCATGTTCGCCTCGGCGACGAGGCCTGCACCACACATGGATGATTGCTGCCCTATTTGCATAGCAATCTTGCGATTGCAAAAAGGTCTGTGGTTTGAGCAAAACAACTTTCTGGGCGGATTCGGGGAGAATGCAACCCGCAACTTGCAGCTGCTTCGTGTAAGCCCTGATAAGCGTATCATCGCAGCTTGCCTCATCCACCAGCCGCACCTGGTGCGAACGGGGCCAGGTGAGTGCACCCTGAAATGGACCCCGCCCGCCTCACTTGCGCTTCTCCAGGGCGGGAAGCTTCGTGGCCATGACCATGTCCACAGTCTGCCAAATGCGTAGGTTTGTGAGGCTCTCGAGACAATAACGAGAAAGAGGCACTTCACCGTAATCTGCTGTACGACCGCGACTGACTACTTCCTGCTGCACTTCGGAGTCTCTCACCATGGAGCGGAAAGCAGACGCTTGCAAATGCTTGCAACCTGCAACCTCGCTGTCGTCTCTTGACACTTTCTGATGAAGGAACCGATAGGAATCGAGAACCAAGCTGTGACCCAGGACTGACTCTCACACCTATGACAGTGTTCGACAGGAGTAGGGCGGGTCCCTGCACTATCTTCGAACACTTGAAAGCACGGCGGACGAAAGCTAGGGCCCCTCAGATGGCAGGCGCCGATTTGCCAAACCGTAGCGTATGTCAGCATAAGTTGAAGATCCCAAGGCGCAAGAACATCCGCGTTGCGTGTGCCAAAGGGGGAACCCTTCCCCCTAATCGAGTAACCCACTCCCCACGTAAGGCCCACAACACGCAAGGCATCGCGTCGTGACTGGCACCACACCCCCCCCCCCCCCCCCCCCCCGCGACACCCTAAATCTTTGAGATATCAGGCACTCAAACCCTCAAGTCCTGTACAAGAACGTTGTAAACAAAAACCCGCGCAAGCTTCAAAAGAGCCAGCTGTCATGACGCAGGCAGCGCATGGGTGTGCACTTTCTGTCTTGGAGGCCGGGTCGGCCCCACTGCCTGCAAAACGGCCCACCCCAAAGTATGAGCTATGTCGGGCTGGGGGCTTAGGGGTCTCGGATGGTGGTTTCTTCGGCGCGCGTGCTGCATTTTCCGCGTGCCGCACGTCTTACAGCTCTTAATGTGTGCAGTGCTGATTGCTGCTGACGACGTAGAGACGAATTCGAACAGGCCATGGCAAGGGATTTCAGTGCCCAAAACAGCAAGTCTAAAAAGCGCGCAAAGCTCCGAAAAGTGCGACAAAAGCCCCAGGACGTGAAAAGTCGAGAAGTGCTAAATCGTCCCGAAGAAAGCACAAGAAGTGCCCTATAGGCCGTAGAACGCGAAATATCAAGTCGTCAAACAGTCGAAAAAGGCGAAACACTCAAAAATGCGAAAAAGTGCCCTAAGACGCTGTACGACGAAACTTACGATAGCCTACAAGTTGCGCTTCAAACGGTTTGAGCAGTCCATAGATTGTGGGGAGGGCCAGTTCTGCTCGAGCTGACGAGTCCATGCCTTGTAGGACGCCTTCCAAGAGGCATGAACAAGTTGCAGGGAACCCTATTTAGCGGGACACGCAAATTTAAACCGTGTATAATGGGACCGTAAGCAAATTTAGACTCGAAATAGTGGGACAGTATGCAAATGTAGACTCTGTATTAGACCATGTATAGTGGGACACTCAGCGAGTTTGAACTGGACACTAAGCAAGTTTCCGCCGTATTTTGTGGACGCGAAGCAGATTTCGGCCCTGTATAGTGGGACACTCAGCGAATTTAGACCCTATATGGTGTGACACAAAGTAACTTTAGACCCTATATAATGAGACACAACGTTAGCTTCCACACAGTGGGACACTAAGCGAATCTAGACCCTAAATACTGGGGCACTAAGCAAATTTCAGCCCCATATAATACAACGCTAAACAATTTGGGACCCCGTAGGGTGGGACACGTGGGACACTCAGCTTGAAGCCTAATCAAATTTAGACCCTATAGATAGTGGGATATCAGCACATTTCCACCTTAAATCAGTAAGCAAATGCAAACCCTAGATAGTGGGACACTGAGCAAATTTAGGCATGTATAGTGGGACGCTAACCTACGTTCAAACCTATAAAATGGGTGTGGGTAGGGTATATGACTCAGCCAAGGAGAACTCGAAGGGCCTTATAAGCCTTGCCCAACATGGTCTTCATCAACATATTTACGATTTAGAAGGCACGGGAGTTCAGGATTTGCTTGGGAGAGTAATGTGGGGGTTTAGGGTTTTCGGTAGTTTTAGCTTGTGCGAACCCCCAAAAGGACCCCGATGTAGAGAACTACCCCCTCCACTTCGCCTTCAGAACCTACCTGAGAATCCTTCCTCTCGGGGGTTTCGTGATAGTATCCTAAATCCTGAACCCTGAACCCTGAACACTAGCAAAACTTTGCAGCAATAAAACAAAGTGTTTGCCTTCTGGGCTCTTGCAGGTGCCAAGATGTGCAGCAAAAGAGCGCAGCGATCTGGAATCCCATGCATTGAGACACCTACTCGGTGCTGCCATCTTGTGCCTAATTAATCTGTACTGTAGTATCCTTACTGTCAGAATAACTCCTAGGCATCTGGTCTATGTCTATAGAGCGTAGAAGCGGCTGTCGTATGCCAGCCCTGGGTCAGGGCAAGTTTTTTTCTGAATTTTGTCGCGTCCTGGGGCAGCTTTCGAAATTTTCGCGACAGTTGACACTTTCGCCGCTCGCACTCGCACTTTCGACTTCTCGCGCTCAGGGGCCCGACTTCGACATTTCGCATTTTGCGGAACTTTTTTGTTGCTTTTCGACTCTTCACGTCCTGGGCACTTTTCGACTTTTCGAGTTTTTGTTGGACTTTCTCCGCCTGTGCACAGCGAGGGTGGGGGTGGCGGACCCAGGCATACAAACGTTTAGAAACAGGCCCGCCTTGTCCCTGACGGAGTCAAGTTCGTCGAGCGCCTTGCTCACTTCATCGGCCTCCATGTGCACACAGACTTCCCTTCAGATGGCACTTGTGGCTGTGGGACTCTCCAATCTCTTAAGTTCCTCAAGTTCTCTGCCTTCATCGGGCTGCCCGAGGCGCTAATCGCGACGATCTCGCCGCTGTCGAGTTTGCCCTGTAGCGGGAGCAGAACACGACGAACACCGCCAAAAGAGCTGTCCGCCACCGACCTGCAGCTCACCAACATCTGCCAGCTTCGCCAGCTGCTCCTGTTCGTGAATGCTCCGCGCGCAAGGACACGTGGTCGCTGGCAGCACAACCGCTACAGCATGCTACAGCATGCCAGAGCATGCTAGAGCATGCTAGCAGCAGGATTCTCAAGCCAATCATCCACTGCTCTTAGGGAGCCATGGAGAGGCCTGCTCCAGCTTGCCTGCCGCGGCCATCTCATCATTCACACCTGGGCAAGGCCGGGCAAGGGTCAAGGCATGGGCATGCGCAGGGCGTAAATGCGCAACTCCCGGCCTGCTGCAAAACCACCCCACCCCCTTCATGAGCGGGAGCCCGTGTCTCAGGCCCATGCCGTAGAGGACGCTGCTGTACTCCTCGCACTCAATGCTGTACCTGTCGGATGCGCACTGTTTGAGCGGAGGCATTTCTAGGGAACCCTGCCAGGAACGTCTTCAAGGCTCTTGTGATGTGAAACTTGCTTTGACTTGTCCTGTCTGCAAGCTCCCAAGATTGTCAACAATTCAACAATTCAACACTTGCGGCCGCACTTGCGCTCGATCTCAGGCATCTGGGCCATGGCTTCGTCCATGGAAAGTGCCTAAAGGCTAGGAGGCACAAACAGCCACACTCCCAAAGGCCAACAGAACTGGGATTCCCAAAGCTAGCAAAACTATGCCTCGCCCTCTCAACATATCTCAAACCCTCAACATCCTATAAGCTTGCCCCTCAACCCAGCCTTTGCAGACTTCCACCGCTCCTCGTGCTCCTCGGCGTAGGCCTTTGTGCATCAGAGAGAGAAGGATTTGGGCGGAGGGCGCTCGGTTCAAAAAAGCTTTGGACTTGGGATTCGGAAGGAGTTGCAATATGTTGCCATAGTTTAAAGTCTGGTTGGAGTTTGGGCTTCAAGGTTTAGGATAGACATGTTGGCTCCCGGTTCGAGTTGTACTTCCCCTTTCCAACCTGAAGCCCGCCCTAACCCAAAACCTTCAGAATTTTTGCGACTCTCCGTGGGCAGATTGGGCAGCGGCTGCATAGATGTCGTAAGCAGGGTCCGACTTCTTCAGCCTGGCTCACGAAGCCAGACGAGGCTTTTGGCATCGCCATGAGGCTTGAGAATTTGCTAGACCCAAGTGCTGCGTGCTGTTGGTTGGTATCGACCCATCCCTCCCTGAATTCCCAGGGAGAAACCCTCAAAGAGGACCAGGACCTCAAGTGGCTTGCAAAAGGGAAGATTGGTGCGCTCAACTTACGAAGATTCCACAAGGAGCTTCAAGAACCTGGCAGGTTCTGCCTTTTGGGTTCTGAATGTGGCTAAGGCAACAACACTCGGTACTAGAACCATTTGAAAATGGGGATCCCCCCAAACCTTCAATTTCGTGCGGCCGGACCGAAGGTAAACAATTGTGCCGAAGCGATTATATCAAGAACCGTTTCAGGACCTGCGATCGACAGTGACAAGAAAATTGATCCATGACAAATGCCTGCCAGCCCCTGTCGCTCTTGTTCTCACTTCCACTCCCTACACCAAGGACTGCCGCCTTCGCATGAAAGCGTCCTTCGAGGTTTCGCCTGCCAAGATTAGGCCAGCTCTGTTAAGAGGCACCACACCAAGAGGAGTCAGATCATCACTAATAACGCTGAACGTGGCGGCGCGTGACTCATGGCCGACTAGACATGTCATGACTGTACCTGCGCAGAGCCGAAACAAGATTCAAGCAGCAGCCTGGCGCCGTGAACCAATTGCCTGGCAGAGAAGACAAGAAGCACGGAGACGATGGAGACGATGGAGACGCTGCAAAGTGCGAAGGAAATGGATGTCCGAGCCTCCCAGGCCCTCTTTGCGCGAGGCCAGGACTTCAGTGAAGGACTCGAAGGCCGCCGCGTAGCCGGCCTCCCAAAAGCACCCAAGACCCGGAGGCCTGAAGCGATCAAGCTTGCCCTTCCCCCATGAACTACTCGGTTGCTCGGTGCAGGGCAGTGTGGGGGTGAGTCGTGATACGCCCTCCCCTTCCACTTTTGTCTCACTTTTGCCACAGGCTGCTGAGAACATGATGAATCAGCGAACTCAAACCACTTCTGAACCCGCCCCCCCCCCCCGGGCGCCCGCCCCTGCCTCGAACTTCCGTCCTGTCATCGTAGCATGGTCTGCCAGGGCCTGTGCCAATCTTCACCAGTCTTCAAGCTTCTGGAAAATCTACAGAACACACCGGACCACTGGATCCTCGGATGCATCTTTGCTCGTGAAGCCGGCCTGGAAGCATTCCACAGGGTCCGGAGTGGTAAGCTCAATTCCGGCAGGCTTGTAGAAGAGGCAGTTGACGTCCGAGCCGAGGCTGTAGAAAGTACCTCCCAGATTCGACATGCAGCGTTACAGGGTTCAAGGGCACGACAGCTGCGCAATCCAACACAGCAACAGCAATGCTTTTCATTTCTTTGCCTGTGCCACACTGGCAGGGAACTCAGGCATAACAGTCGGATCCAACAGTCTGATGGTGGGAGACATACTGGGTGCAAACCGGTTCTGATGCCCTAGAGCCATTGAGGCCACCGACAGGTCACGCAAGAGGAGTCCCCCAACCCCGTGCAGAGGCTGCTCTCTGACTGAGCAGCCCTGCTGCCCCCTGTACAGTATCTCGGGCCTCTGGCGGATAGTGAGACGCTTTGACAGCAAGCCCACACATGCCCTGGGTCGGACAGTGTGAATGTGGAGCAGGATGCCATCAGAACATGTTCCACGCCCCGAGGATGTCGCGCATTCGGATCTGCAGTCCAAGCAACACTGGCGGGTCTGACTGCTGACTACACCGAAGAAGCAACACCAGAAATCAATACATACGACAAAAAACTACGAGCAATGGCATGTTTGACATGTAGTCCAATCTTGGCGATTTCTGGCCCGAGAAACTCACTGTAAACATCTTAAGTTTTAAGACTTCCTCTCTTTCACCGCAGCTTGCCGCGTTTGCGTCACTGGATCCCTACAGGGCCTCTGTGCCATCGTCGACTGAGACAGGTTCGGGGGAAGGGGGTTCCGTTTCATCAAGGGTCTGGCTCTGCTTTGGTTGGAGTGCGCCCCCGTCGCTGGGATATCTTAACACACTTCACCCCCCCAAAACATCTACTGGTGCACCTTAAAAAATTACCTGGCCAACAGCTGCCCTGACCGTTTTCGATGCATGTGAGAAAAGACTTCTGTAGCCAAATCATGGGTTGAGACAAGCCCGCGTCATGCGAATCACTCTTGCCTAATGTGCAAACTTGGTATCTAGGAAGGTACGTCCCTGCCTTCCGGCGCACAGAGCAAGTGTGGCCCTCAATGTACCTGTCTACTTTGACGCTTTCCGCCACGGGAATGTTAAGCCCAGGCAGTTGACGCACTTCATCACCAGCAAGGGCTTGGCATCCTGAGATGGCGTGACCTGACGGCACAGAATCTTGACCTTCCACCCTATTCGAGGTTAACCTTCGGTCACTGCGTTTTGGGAACGGAACATTTGCTATATAAAACATGACATACGAAGCTCCGGCATCGCCATCGTACAAAATCTGAACTCTAGACATCGCCAAAGCCTGCGAAGATGTCTGCATCATTTTCTCCTGTCAGGAGTACTTGCCGAGCTGTTCATGCCGAACACCACCCCCACCTTTCACTCCGATTCGCACAAAACATGATTAGCAACGACGGATGTTCGTAGCGGTTCCAGATTGGACTGCTCAATGTCAGCCCACGTCCGTGCATTGAAGGACAACAGCTTGAGCTCGTCATCATGTACATGCCCAGGTTGCTGTGGCGATTTTTGCTGGAGACTTGCTGGAGGTGTCCGCCGCATCCGCCGCAGCAGCAGCAGCAGCAGCAGCGGCGGCGGCGGCGGCGGCGGCGGCGGCAGCGGCAGCGGCAGCAGCGGCAGCGGCAGCAGCAGCGGCAGCAGCAGCAGCAGCAGCAGCAGCGAGCGGCAGCAGCAGCAGCGGCGAGTAGTATCAGCAGTAGCAGCAGCAAAAGCACAGCCACACTAATCGTGGTTGTTCATGCGAGCATGCTTGCCTTGAACTGGGTTGCGCCGTTAGCCCCTAAGCCATCCTGAGCCACTCTAAAACTTCTCATGGGACCACTCTCTAATGCCTGCAAGTTGTTCACGAAGGCACGGGGAACCCAAGTGCTGCAGCCACAGCACCCCGTCCTTCACTGATGTGCGCCAGCCATTGAGAGAGCATTTGCTGAAGTCCTCTCATTTGCTGTTCTCATGTACATGAACTCTTGGATCTAGGTGTGGAAACTGAGCGGGCCCGGATGAACGGTGATGGCACTTGTGAAATCAAGGCAACAGAACTGGTTTGAACGTGGCGCCCCCCCCCAAAGCTGGGGTGGGCATCTTTGGTTGACAGAGCCTTTTGGGGATAACCGTCACAAGATTGGTCTAAGAGATGGCTTGAAATTACAAATTGCTTACCGGCTTGCCGGGAGCTGGTGAAGTGCGTGCTTTGTTTGCGTCTCTCACGTCGAGGGTGTAGGGAAGGGCTTGCTGGTATGCACGTTGTGCAACGCAATGTCAGTGAAGCAACAGCAGGCAGATGCGAGACTATCTAAGGCCATTGATCAGTCCCTCTCCTTGTCCTTCAGCGCCTGCGAGAAGATGCAGGAGTTGTGCGGTAAGGTAAGTGCAGCAGGAGACACGCCAAAATTTCAAATCCCCCGAAACCTCGGGCCGGAGGAGTTCTGGCAGCGTCTCAGGTACCCGCCACCGATTTTTCACTCCTTTTAAGTACATTATGCCAGCCCCTTATTTTGGCTCTTTTTTCTGTGTGCCAGGAGTAAAGGGCAGCTTGCGCCGACCAAACAAAAAAGCTGGCCCATGCTCATGGACCCTACAACTTTGATATTGTTTTCTGGGGCATGAAACGATAGCAGATACCATTTCCATTTCTAACCATGCACACACCCCTAGGCCACCTGAAGACCCAAACCATAACAACCTGTACCTCAACCTTCAACTAATTCACGCCCAACCCCATGCAAAATGACATACTCAACCTCATAGTGCTTTACCCGGTAGAGAACCCAACTGGAAACGGTATTCTCCAAAAAAAAATCTATAATAGGAATAAGGTTTAGGAATAAGGCGGAAACAATAATGAAATTGTTTCCTATAACAATTTAAGGATTATACCTACACTACTTTTACTTCTGAAGGCATTGAAATACACATTGAAGCATATGAAGCTTGTTTGGTGTCTACTGTCGGTGCTTTCGGTTCGGCAACATCAGCAAGCATTTCAATAAAGTTCTGTCCCGATGCTTGCCGAATGGCACAAAATTCTTCTAAAAACTTGTTGTTCGTTAGTAACTGATGGACATGATTGAATACTTTATCGATATCGGGTTTAGGTTTCTCGGGCTCGGGTTGCGGCTCTGGCGTTTCCTCTTCATCAACAAACTTATCAGAAAACTGTTGATTTAATGGTTTGCGTATGTCCCTTTTCTGCTTTTCATATTCTGCCTTAGTTTCTGATTGTAATTTGTCGTTTAGTTTGCTCTTTCCTTCAATTACCTAATTTCGTTAAATAGCCCTTCCTCAATATAATGAATTCCGAGCTCGGAGGTAACGCATAATGGAAATGGGCATCCCAGTTTTCGCGTCCCATTCTGTGTCCGCATTCTTTGCACAGTTGGCTTCCCCTCTTCTCGCTCGGTTATATTCTTTCTGATTCTTCTTGTGGCATTTTCGCTCCGCTTCTCGGCATGTATTGCGTGTCTTGAACCGTCAAACTCTTCATCATCCGCTGAGGCACAGCACGATTTGCACATTCTCTTCACCATCTTGTTAAAAGAATGTCTAGTCTTTAGACATAGCTAGACTGAAACATTTTCATACCTCAGTTAATATTAGAACCTTAGTAAGTTTGTGAAGGACATCAGAAGAAACGAGGCAACACTTCCAAACATTACCACACGCTTATGATATGCTTCTGGTATAGCGACACGCGGGGCTTAAAATCTCTGGGACTTATCCTCAACTATACACTGTTAACAAGTCTTCTAATTGATAAAACTCAAACAACAATTTAAACCGTTTTTTATAATCTGAATAATAGTCGTAATCTTCTAATTCATCCAAAAGAGCGCTCAACCTAGCATTTTACATTCCAATATTCTTCGTTCATCCAGTCTTTTTCATTTTCCTCACTTTGTTTCTTCGAGAAAAAAGTTCGTCATTGAATTACTGTTATTTTAATTGATTTTCTTGCTAACTTCAAGTTTCAAAGCATAAAGATCCAATTCTAACCTCTCTATCTTTTTTTGAATGCAATTAACGCCTGTCTCGGTGACCTCTATCTTCTGCTCTAGTTCTTCGGGCGCTATTTTGTTTGCGGCGGCGCTACATATTTCAACGCTTCCAATTTGCTTCTCGGTGTTAAATACACCGTTCTCATCAAGTGACACACGCCGACCACCAAATTTTAAGATACGTATGTCTTCATTTACGCTCATTGACATTTCGCTGTTTTCTTTCGCAGTCTTTGTGATTCATGATATGGCAGTCTCTTACATCTACGAGGGATGCGCGACATGCCATTAGCATGAATGACAAAAAAACTTTCTTTTTTGTCGCTGTCATCGCATCTATCGCTCATGTACATTATTTAGATTTCTTACAAATTTCAAAAAAATGCAAAAATCTGTTACAAACTCTAACACGAAATCCTACCCCACAACCACCACCTAGGGGGCTTGTAAAGGTAAAAGTCGGTCGTCACGCAGCGCCCTGCATCGTAGGGCTCGCGGTTGGTCTCCTTCGGGGGTAAAAGGTAAGTAAAGATTGTTCTGAAGGTAAGGCGATGGCTTCGGCATCGCAGTCGCTCACGGAAGATGTTTCTCAACCCAAGCGCGCTACCCCAGTCGGTTTCGATTGGGCTCAATCGTGCGAAATGCTCAAGATGAGGTCGGGAAGTGGGTTTCCTAGCGCACGGGGACTATTGACATTAGCATAAAGGGGTTTGACAGAGGCACCCTAAGAGTTTTGACGGGGCTGTCAAAAAAGTCTTGACGGAGCTGCGGAGCTGTCAAAAGGTTTTAGCTGGGCTGTCAAAAAGGTTCTGGCGAGACTATCAAAAAGGTTTTGGGTCGCCAACGTCTTACTAGGAGCGGCGCCCGCTACTATACACACCGACATATACGAATCAACTGAAACACTCCACCCACTGCTTCACACCAAAGCAGCAACCAAAGGGGAACAGATAGGCGGCTCATCAGGGCTAGGCCGAGACAGGGGAACATGTGCAAACACGCAGATGCCTGCATTTTGTCAATGCGGCTTGCTCCTCAAGATACAGCTCCACAAGGTTAAGTG